TAAAATAAAATTTTTTGAAAAGATTATGACTACATTAAGAGGCCTTATATAATGTCCTGTTCCTGTGTGGTCTGCTCAGTAGCTGAAATTTGGCAACAATTTTTCAGAATCTAAACAGAGATCTTTCCTCTCAGCAGATGCCTAACTGGATGTTTTGGGATATCTACTATTTTTAAGTGTGTATTATTTAATTGCTCTGCAAGCCACATGAAGTTTTCCAAAAATCTGTAACCTCAAATCTAATGAGTTCCACTCTGAATTGTCAACGGGAAAAGAATGTGGGAGGGAGACTCCAAAATATCTCAACCAGTTAGCAACTGGTTAGCTAACTTTCCACTCATTGTTTATGCAGCAATGGATATTTTATCATAACATCAGACCAATTGATGACAAACATAGAACGGGTTGACTACAGAATATGTTTTTAAAATAAAGCTTTTAAAATTCAATTGTACTTATATTTTGCCCAAAATGGTATAGGGGGTTGGATTAGATGACCTCCAAGGTCCCTTCCAACATCAATCATCATCATCATCATCATCATCATCATCATCATCATCATCATCATCATCATCATCATCATTATTATTATTATTATTATTATTATTATTATTATTATTATTATCTGAGAGCTCTACAGCAAAAGTGGAAGAAGATAAACAATGTTTTGTCCCTGGTTCTGTATTAAAAGATGAAGAGCCTATACCAGAGGTTCCCAACCTTTTGGGCACCAGGAATTAACCAATATATATCATTCATTTTACGAATAACAATAATTAATATACTATTAAAATATATTACTAATTGAATATAATTACTTATAAATACTGATATAGTGCTTATTAATTATAATTACTTATAGGTAAAATCGGAAATATTAAAGTATTCACAACAATCAAATAACATAAAAGTTGAATAGAAAGTATCATTTATCCTATTTAGTTTCATAACCTTTTCCCATTCTGCCATATTGCTAACCATTGATAGAATTTTTCCCATGTTTTAAAATAAATTATGTCTTCTTTCTCCTTAATTTCTAAGGTTAATCTATCCATTTCTGCACATTCCAATATTTTTGTGATAATAATCTGATCAGGTGGTAGCTTTTCATTTTTCCAAAATTGGGCAAATATTATTCTTGCAGCTGTTAATACATGTAATATTAGGTATTCATTCTCTTTTCCATAGTTAGATCCTAGTATTCCTAGTAGAAACAGTTCGGGTTTAAATTCTATCTGCATTTTAGTCATCTTTTCTAACCATATATGAATCTTAAACCAATATTTCTTTGCATTAGGGCATATCCACCAGACATGATAATAAGTCCCTGGTTTTTGTTTACATTTCCAACAAGTATTTGATACATTTTTAAACATTTTCTCTAATCTAACTGGTGTCATATGCCATCTATAAAACATTTTATATAAATTCTCCTTATATGCAGCTGCGTTTGTAAGTTTGATATTTCGATCCCAATGTTTTTGTCAATCTTCTAAATCTATAGAATATCCAAAATTCTTTGCCCATACTATCATTGTTTCTTTTACTTGTTCTTCTTCCATCTTCCATCTTAACAAAAATTTATAAAGTTTTTTAATCAAGTTTTCGTCTGTTTTTAGCAGTATTTTATCTAATGGTGTCTGTTCTTTGTAAAATCCCGTAGATTTTGCGTCTTTTTCATATCTTGTCTGAATTTGCAAATAAGACCACCATGTTAAGTCAATACCATGTTGCTGAAGAACTTGTCTGTCTTTAAGTTTTCCATCTTTGTCCAAAATATCTTTATAGATAACAAGTTTGTCATAATTAATTAAATTTGGATAAGCAAAAGCTTCCATTGTCGAAAGCCACTCAGGTATTTTCATGTAGATTTTATGTTTAATTCTTTCCCACTCTGAAAGCAATACATTCCTTATGGCGTGATTTTTTATGTACTTTATTTTTCTCATACCACAAAAACGCATGCCAACTCAATTGCAAATCATGTCCCTCTAGATAAAGGCGTTTATTTCTCAGTGTGATCCATTCTTTAAGCCAAAGAAAAATGGCTGCCTGGTAATAAAGTCTCCAGTCCGGGAGCCCAAAGCCCCCTCCGTCTTTGGAATCTTGTAATAATTTAATTTTAATTCTTGCTTTTTTTCCTTGCCATATAAATCTCATAGTGGCATTTAATTCATCAAAACATTTCTGACTCAATTTAACAGTGACCGTTTGAAATAGAAAAATTAGCTTAGGTAAGATGTTCATCTTGACGGTCACTATCCTTCCTAGCAATGATAGTTGAAGATTTTTCCATTTCTCCAAATCCGCTTTTATTTGTTTTAGTAGTCTCTTATAGTTGTCCTCTTTTACCGTTGTATATTTTGATGTTAAATGGATACCTAAATATTTAACTTTTTTAGTTATTTGAAGATTTGTGTTTTTAGCAAGTTGGATTTTTTGATTGTCTGTTAAGTTTTTTGTTAATACTTTAGTCTTTTCTCTGTTTATTTTTAGCCCCGCCACTTCTCCAAATTTCTCTATTTTCTGCAGAAGTTTAGTGGCTGTTTCCAGTGGCTCCTCCAAAATAAAAACCAAGTCATCTGCGAAAGCCTGTAATTTATATTTCCGGTCTTTTATCTGAGGAGAGTAACTCTTGATGAGTTAAGATAGATGGGCCGATTGATGGACCAGTAACGGGCACAGAGCACCACTTTGACTCAGAAACCAGCAAGCTGTGGGTGGGGTACTGGCATGGACTGGTATTATTAAAGATGAGCTAGTTGGACCTTTTCAGATTGAAGATAGACTCAAAAATCAACTTCCAAACCTACTGCCAGTTTTTAGAAGACACTTTCTTCAAAATGTGGTAAAGGAAAAAGTGCATCTTTCAAGAAGACCATGATTTTTATATAGGACAATGTTCCATGGCAGTACTCCACTGTATGGCTAACCAGTAAAGACCTTAAAGATGAAAGAATAATGATATGGCCCCCTTCTTCATTTGACCTAAACCCTATTGAGAATTTATGGGTCCTTCTTGAAGGAAAACAGTACACCTCTCTGAACAGTGTCGGGGAGGCTGTGGTTGCTGCTGCACAAAACACTGATCGCCAAACAGATCAAGAAACTGATAGACTCCATGAATGGAAGGCTTATGGCTGTTATTGAAAAGAAGGGTGGCTATATTGGTCACTGATTTTTTTTGTTGAAATGTCAGAAATGTTTATTTGTACATTTTGAGTTGTTTGTTTATTTTCACTTTAACAGATGCAAATAAACAAGTGAGATGGGTGAATTTTTGTTTTTCATTTAGATGCATACTAATTTTGCACACTAACAGTTGCCCAATAATTGTGCACATATAGATATTCTCCTAAGAAAGCCAAAACCTCACTTTTATTTTCTTAAATATTCGGGTTTGGGGTTTATTAACATTTTGGATTGACCGAGAGCACTGTAGTTGTTCAATAAGAAAAGTAATCCTCCAAAATACAACAGTGACTAATAATTGTGCCCACACTGTAGTTCCTTCAACAGGATTCATCTGATCTAGATTAAAGGCCTTCTGAAAACATTTTATTTTAAAATATCTCCTTTAGCTTCATGTATTTATTGTTCTTCTTTATTAAAATATAAACTGCAAATGTGTGTGTAAACTTCCAGTTAAATTTCAAATGCTAAAGGAAGGTGAGAGGAGAGAGTGCTTTCCCTACAATATATAATCTTTTGTTCTGACTAAGACTACTACTATTACTAACCAGTCCATAAAATAAGGCTGCATCTTATTTTATTTTTAAGGGTGTCAATACATTCTGGACTCTGCCAAATCTTCCATGTATATATTTATGTTTATGTATATGTTTTATTGAAAGATTTCTAAGATTCTTGAGTGGTTGTAGGATAATAAGCAAAGAAGTCACTAATAAAGAACCCTTAGAGCAGCTTGACAGATTTAAGAGAACTTATGGTCCAGAATGCAAAATATTTTAAAAAATCACTAAATACAAAACAATGGCAAAAAAATAATAATTTTGCTGCTTAAAGTTGGCTGGCCTATGAATCCCAGTGCTGTTTTTTCATTACTATCTGGGGCCATTCCAACTGTGTATAACCAAAGTCTATAAAATCAAACAGTTTAAAAGCTTAAGACAAAATAGTCTATTTCAGCAGCTTCTTTATCTATGCTTTTGTGAGTAATTCTCGCTTAGCTACAGTAATTGGTACTGGAATTTCCATCATTAAGCAATGTGGTTGTAAAATATGTCATACAAGTTTTCTGCATAACAATGGCAGGCTATTACTGTCATTGAGGACATGGGTTGTTAAGTGAGGATTTCATGTGACTCACTACTAACTTCCTGCAGGCTTCCAATTTGCTTGTGGGAAGCCAGCAGGAAAAGTATCAAATCATGAACACGTGACCATGAGGTATTGCAACAGCAAAAAAGAAATATAATTTTATTGGACATTTTTTGCTTCATTCTTGTAGCAGCAAGGGAATATTTGGCAATACCATGGATAATAGTGGGTTTATGGTCTGCTAAAAAATAGGAAATATACATTCCTCCCATCATTCAGTCCTACCGTAGTTAACTAAGTTATGGTTTGTTAAACCCAACTGCCTTCATCTGCACAACCGAGTGCCTTTGTATAACGTATTGCGCTGTATATTCTCCAAATCCTTTGTACACCGCCGTGTGGTTACGCGAGTACAGCCACGCAGTGTGGAATTTAAAACTTCATCCGCAACCGGCCAAGAAAAGCGGAATGCCGACGCTCCAGGAGGAGTTACCTTACTCAGCCTCTTAGGCCGGGCGCCAGAGGGCGCCACGGCTACGGCGTTTTGTTGGACGGCTGCGTCTCAGAGCAGGAGGACGGTGGCCCCACGCGACCTGGGTTGGGGTTGGCGTGAAGTAGCGCTCTGGATTCAGAAGGAGCCTAAACTCTCGCTAGCTGCGCTTTTCGCTGCTACTCGAGACGACGGGGACTCGGAGACTTTGGCTTAATCGCTCCCCCTCCCTTTTTTATTGTTTGTGACGAAGAGCTGTTTGAATGCTACAAGCTGCTGCTGCGGCGACGTTTTGTTCTCTGCTGCCTACCCTGCCTTCTCAAAGCCGAAGGGAAGGCGGCAGGCAGGCGGCCACGCAAACTTTCCGCTTCTCCAAAGCCAACAACCGCCCGAAAGGGCTTTTCTTAGTCGGCGTGCGAAGGCGCTCTTTGAAACCTAGAGAATGGCTGGATTTCCCTGGGAGGGCAAGCGGGGTGGATTTAAAGTCCTAGTCGCGACGCTCTCCGTGGCCTTGGTTTATTCCTATAACATCGATCTGGATCATCCCGTGATTTATCAAGGACCCAATAACTCTTTCTTCGGATACTCGGTGCTAGAGCATTACTACGACAATACCCGATGGTGAGTATCAGATCATTTCCAAGAGAGAGAGAGAGAGATGAACACGCCTTTTCCGTATTCAGCCTTTCTGTGAATTTGCCGAATTTATATATCTTAACCCTTCCTCCCCCCCTTCTTGTAAAAGAAAAAGGCTAAAAAGTTCGTTTTAAATATAATCTTCCGATGAGCCAACTCCACTTTTACGAACCAGTTGCTTCCATGAAAGCCCTGGTTAGAACCGATCTAGACATGCGCAAAGACGAACCGGTGTTTCCTCGACTCTTTCAGCTACAAACTATCCAACTTTGTTTTGATTACTTTTTGATAGTCCAGAATGTTATGCAATGCCAGTAAGTAAATAAAGGGCTAGTTAAGCACAGCTGTCTAAGAATCCAGGCTTATGCTGCTAAGTTGCCTGCAAATCCAGCACCCTGAGCTATTCTCTTTCTTGCTTTTCATTAAAGACAATTTTGGGGATAGCAACTAGACAGAAGGTGTGGTAGAAAATATGGAGAATTACAAGGAAAGCCAGCAAAGTCTGGATTCTTTGGGAAATCTCGGGAATAAGATGAGGGAATTGTGAATATGATTGCACAATAAAAAGCTACCTTATGGTCTTGTGGACCGTTAAATTTTGCTCTCAGAAATGAGAGACTGAGCATCTCCAATAAATGGATCTTATGCAGCTTCCTTCTGAAAACTTCCAAGGAAGAACCCACAATTCCTTGGAGACATTGGTTCCTTTATCATACTGTTGTTTCTCAATTTGCCATCTTGTGCTTTAAATCTGTGGAATCAAGTCCAATCCAGGGAAGCACTATACTTTGGGCATCTGTGTTATGATTTACAATAGATATATTTAAGGAATGCTTTTAAACCAATTCCCTGTTTTACTCAGTCAAATGAGTTTCAAATTAAATTTGGGACATCTTGAGTGCTATTGATTGCATGAAGGAGAAAAAATGGTTAATATACTGTAAGAATTCTGCAGCCAGGTGGTCCTTCCTCTCATAGGCATGAGGGAATAATATTGTTTGGCTGCCTTTTAGTATCTGGAAGGGAAATGGATTGTTAGCTTCCTCTAAACATTTTTGCCCCAGTACATGCATATATGTATAAGACAGTATTCATATATTAAAGATGATGCAATTTTCTAATGAAATGACCACTGGTGGTCTTACTTTACTTTGTCTGTATGTGCATGTGTGTGCGTGCTAAGAATTGAGTGTTGGGGATAGTGTAATGTGTGAACTTCATGAGAGAGAAGATCCTTAAATTGGTTCAGGTAGATTGTGGGAATGGATAGCAATCTAATAATAAGGAACCATTTTGTGTTCTGTATTTGTGCTTTAGATGGTGTTGTGGTTCACTAAGCTCACTGAGTTACCGATTAGAGTAGATAGCCATGTTTTAGTTGAGCAGAAATGCTACACAAATTTTGCCCATGTAGTTTGTTCATAATTTGATATGTTGTGCCAATCCAGAAAACTGGGTTAATGGAGTTGATCATGGATAAATATGTCAACCAAACACATCATTTTGTGAGAAGTCTTAGCAAAAGTGAATTGAGTGAAGAAATGGGTTAGTCTCCTTATCTGTTGAGTTTTAAGAAAGTACACAGGAAATTGTTTTGATGGGAGGTTAGCAGCTAGGAGCAAACATGCTAGTAACTGAATCTGTTCGAGTCTTGCAAATATCTGGGGTTAAGAGCTAGGATATCTTTAAAACCGAAAATAGCATTTGGCAACTCAGTGTAATGTAAGAATTGAAGAGCTACTATCCTGAACCAGCCCATTAAGTCTAGCATCAGTTTCCAATCTTAATATTTTAGAGTAATAATTATCATACAGAACATCACAATCCCCCAGGGATCATAACTACCTCGAGGTTTTGCATTTTTAAAAAAGAAATATGATCAAAGTTTGCATCCCAAACAGGTATCTAGATTTATATTTAAAGTTAGTGATATATTTATTTTTTGCTTAATAAAATTGTCTTATTCACAGGAGGCAGGAAGCAGTTTTCATAATTTACAATTTGAGAATCCTTGCCTTCGGTTAGTTTTCCCTTATTAGGCAGTCTCAGATAAATTGGGACTACAGCTCCCAGAATTTCCTTGCCTGCAAGACTGAAATCTGGTGGAAAATTCTGAGATTTACGGTCCACACTTGGAGGTTCCTTGACTGGCAGAGGCCAGTTTATGAATTAAGTAGTATTAGTCATATTATTATATGAATGAGTGAATATTTTCAGTTGAAGAAATGTATATCTATTGTATAACTTATATTTGTGTTTGAGCAAAAATGCTATCTCTCACAACAATAGTACTATGAATTTGTTTTTAAGTCTTTGTGTATTTGCTCCTACAGAAGATCCACAGGAAGAGGCCATAGTTGTGCTTAATTAGACTCTAGTACTACCAAGGCCATTTGTTTCCAACTGTTAAAGCAGTGGTTCTCAACCTGTGGGTCGGGACCCCATTTGGGGTCGATCGACCATTTCATGGGGGTCGCCAAGCAAGGCTGTCTGCCATTTTTTTTGTCCGCCATTTTTTTTGTCTGCCATTTTTTCCCCCTTTTCCGGCGGGTGTCTTACCTCCCTTGGGCTGGGCCAGCTGGTGGTCGGCCTGCTCCGTCTCTGCCGCTTGCCAGCTACGCCTTGGCCGGCGCGGCGCTCCCGGGCAGGGAAAGTCCTCGACTTATGACCGGTTGGGTAGTCCTCAACTTACGACCGGTTTAGTCCTCGACTTACGACCGGTTTAGTCCTCGACTTACGACTGGTTTAGTCCTCGACTTACGACTGGTTGGGGTCGCGGCATTAAAAAGGTTGAGAACCACTGTGTTAAAGTAACCTTCTTCCATTCTGGGTATAGTGAAATGGAACAAGTATGGACTGTTCCTAGAAACTGCAAATTAAACATTTAGAAACAGTGCTTACTTAAAAAAAACAAACCAGCACAATATGTACTATAGTCATTTATTACCTAGCCATTGACTAAAATTAATACTGTGCTGTTTCTCAGTTGATTTGAGAAACTATTGCTGAATTTTAATTTATCAGCTTCCTCAGTGCAACTGCACAATTCTTTTTTTTCTTTGCTGTTGAAAGTGGTGGATGGATATAAATAACATTGTAAAGTGCCAGCTTTTCACTTTTTTTGTATGTGAAAGTATTCTTTCTTGTTATTGGTAGGCATAGGGATGATGAACTGGATGCACATGGAATAAAAAGGCATGATAACTCTAATGCAAGATCTAAAAAAAAGTCTTAAAGATAAAGATAAGACCATTCTCTCACAATGAATCACAGTGAATGTCCCTGTCCATTATGCACCAATGCATCAACTATTGTGGCTTTCCCCACTCCCCTGGAACAGTATGTGTGGTGTTAAACCACCAAAATCTCCACCTAATTTCTGCTGAGCCCTAACATCCAGAGAATTTAGGTTGTATCATTCCACGAATATATCCTTCAAAAATAAGATGGTCCCACGGATTGGCTTAGTGAACCCAGATTCTCAGTGTTCCTATGATTGATCCCATATGTTGAATGAATGAATGAATATCACCGACATTTCATCCAGGGTTCTCCTTCACAATCAGAGTCTAGACTTAGCTAGTGGAGCAATTGTATCTTTAGGCCTCATAAAGTGGCGCTTCTGTGTCATTTGATCATCTTCATTCTCAGCTGTGTCTTGGGAATCACTCAAGAGCCCATAATCTGTGCAGTAGATAGTTTGAGTATTTGCCTTAATCACTCTAGTTGTATTGAAGAAGAATAATTGTAGATCATCACACTTTCAGCAGGCTTGGCAAGGGTACATTCTTTTCATGCTGCTTGCAGTTTCAACAGTTAAAGAGCTGAATGCAGCCTTCTGTAAACAACTATTGGCATACAAGACCATGACAGAACAAAGAGAAAAACTTTAAGCAGTGATTAAAAATTATGCCACCCACAGCAGCTTTCTCCCTATTTTGGTTTTTATTGGGGAGATGTTTATTATATGTAAATCCAAACAGCTGTGGGGGAAAAGAATGTATATGCATTTTTCTTCTTGTAATATGCATTCTCTGTAATTTAACTCTCTAGATCAAATGAAGCTAAATTTACCTGGAAACCTTTGAATGAAGGTAGGACTCATTTGCCAGCCTTCCTGCAAATGTTCAAAATGCTTGCCTGTATTTCTTTCTGATAGATGGTGCTCTATTTCTTAAACCAGTAGCCTTGGAACTGTAGCACATTGTGATATCAATAGATGCATTCAACTTTAGAGTCAGCCCCTAAAATGAATGACTGTCATGTCTTTGATACACAGGGACATTTGGACTTTGCTTGTCAACTTCCTTTTGAGTGTTTACTGATATGGAGCTGCTCAAATAATATTGGGCAAGAAATTGACTGAAAGAGATTGAAAGACCTCTTTCTTACTATTTCATGGTATATATGCGGCTCTTGTTTTTAAAAGTGGGATAGCCACAAGAGACAGGAACCATGAAGCTAAAAATTATTCACTAACACCCATTGATTGAAGAAACTTAGTGTTTTATATGCTGGTAAAAGATGCCATTAGTGAAGATTTTCATAGCATAAATTGTGCTGATAGGAATTGCATGTATGAGTGTGTATGCACACAGACTACACTATTGATGCTCTTTTAGAAAAAACTATTTAGGAATCTGGTATCATATGTATAATGGTATGTAAGAATGACCTTGGGAGACAGAAGGAAGTGCTGCAGACTAGACAAACATCATGTAAAAGATATCTTGGTCCACAGAAGGAGGGTTGTGTGTGAGAAGCGTTTCAGAAGGGGTCTTCTCTAGTTTTCTGGAGAGTAAAAGGAGATGAGGAGAGACGTATTTTCAGACTTTCAATATTCTGTTAATATAATCCTGTACCTAATAAAGGTAACATTAATATTCATAGTTATTCTTCTTGCCTGGACTACCTCAAAGGGCTAACATATGTGAGGTTGGTTAGGAGGTTGCCTTACTAAATGTGTGTAAAAGTTTAACCTTTATACTGCAGACTCTAGATCTTATGTTCTAAAGAAGTTTCTGATGATTCTGTTGGATCTAGCTGTTTCTTGATTAGCATTTCATTGTCCTCCATTGCCAACTAGATGCCTCTTAGTTTAGAAATCCCATCAACAAATTATCAATGGCAGAATTCTCTTTCATTATTACTTTCTTACAAGTTAATATTTGGTGATTCACTGCCTACTGTACTGAAAATAATACAGTAATAATAATTATTATTCATCGTGATTAATTATTATTAACTTAATAACCTATTAACTAAATAACCTGTTCCCTTTTCAGTATTTACTTACCTAAAGAATAACCACAATTACCAGATGTGGGTAAAAGAGCAATGGGAGTGGAATGATGTATGACTTCCTGCTAGTTTCCCTATTGACTTTGCTTGTGAGGAAATGATGGGGAGCATTGGAAATCATGATTGGCTGACTGCAGTGGTACTTCTGAAACCACAACTTTGTGAATACAACTGGTGTAAAATCTTTGACACTTCCAATCACATGGTAATAATAGGTCCCAAATTTTCCATGCGTTCTTTAACTTAGAAGATTCAAGGCACTTTGATTCAAAGATTGTTGCCCTGAAACGCACTGTTTCAAGTATTTTAAAGTTACAAACAGATAGACTGGATACTATCTGTTTGTCTTGGGTGTCTTAGTTTTAGGGAATTCATCTAGTTAAGCCAGGGATGTCAAACTGCCGGCCCGCAGGTTGGATGCGTCGTGAGGAAATTGCACCCACTCCATTGCCGGCAATGGGGAAAAAATTCCGATACGTCGCACTATGTCATGTGATGTCGCGAATTTGACATGTCTGAGTTAAGCAAATAACCCTTATTACATGCTTTCAGAGCACTCCTCAATTCCAGGTGCAGAGGACTGACATTTTTGTCTGCTCTGTGACATTAGTCACACTTTAAAGTGTGCCTCTTCTTATAGATACCATACATTTAGGTTTCCAAAGAGGATTCTTAGCAATGAGCAAGTAATACTTGCAAACAGAGAATCCATGGGCAGGAGGGTTATCTGGAAATCCCATTGATGTTAACACTGAGCCATTAGGCTGGACATGATGTAATCAAAACAAAACAAAACCAACAACCTTGCTTTTCCTGTTTTATATATTTTCCCATATAATTAACAAAATAATTTTCTACCATATATTGTGGCCAGGTCAAAACTTGTGTAAATAAATTTTATAAAGATTTGGCTACATGGGATTGGTTCAATTACATGGAAAATAAATTGAAGATTCTCTTTTGAAACTGATATTGGTTGCAGTATCTTACTTTGCCATGAAGCTTGATTGCTTAAACCAATTAAATTATTTAAATTAACTCAGCAGTGGAAACTATTGCATTTTGCAGAGATGAATGCAAAAATGGCATTGAAGAAATATTCCATTCCATTTGATTTCATTGGAGGGTATTTAACAAAGTGCTTAATTCTTAAATGTACAGTAGTAGGATTTTAATATATTTAAGTTGGGATCATACCTCAGATTAATAACATATTGATTTCTGCATTATGTGCTTCTATTAATTTAAGTCAGCCACAAGCAGAAATCCCAGCTATGGCTTTGCCATAGATCATACATAGTTTGTTCACAAAAGAGCATTTTGTTGGAGGAATACTAACGCATAGTCGTTGTGCTTTGTGGATATTGCTATGATTATTTTCATTAGATAAAATATAATATAGTCCCAAGATCAAGGTTACTTTCTTTTTATTTAACTTAACACAAGTAGCCTTCTGGAAATAATTGGCACATTTGCAAGATAACATTTTCTGCTCTTACTCAGACCAAGAACAGACAGAATTATTTTACAAGTGTGCTAAATGTTTTCAAAAGATTACTTGTGCTAGACCAATTGTTTTACCACTTAAAGTAAAGTGATCAGTCGATTTCTTTTCCTACACTATAGATTTCTTTCCCACTAGCTAGAATTGAGCCATTTTAAGAAGGCTTCTTGTCTCCACATCATCTTTAAATGGGATTCTCTCACTAAATCAAGATACATTAAACTTTATGCCAGAAATTCTTACGTTTTAGATACTATGCCTCCTTGAAATGATAAAATGAATTTGTGTGATCAATCCTGTGACTAAAATTAATATTGTGTTTGGCAAGAAACATACATGGTTCTTTAAATAATTATATTCAATCTTTATGTTCAATAATAAAACAATAATAGAACTTTTCAACTCTGTTATATAAAACCAAACCATTTCATTCAATAAACAAAAACTAACACCAGAAATCTGTTCATAACATCTGATTTTTATTTTTTTGCCATGATGTCTGTGGAGATTCTCAATGATCCTAGTCATGGAGATCCCAAAAGTGCTTTTCCCAAAAGGCAACTGGACTTTCTTGGGTTTTTTTTTGAAAACGTTTCACTTCACATCCAAGGAAATGTCTTCAGTTCTATTCTATTGAAGAAGCTTCTTGGATGAGAAGCAAAACGTTTTCAAAGAAAAAGCCAAGAAAGGCCAGTTGCCTTCTTGAAAAAGCACTTTTTGTATATTTTGCTATGATGAAACACGGAAATGAATTCATAAAAAGCTAAAATATAACTGCATGTGCCATCTTGTAATTTCTGCATTTTTTCTTACCAGTTGCTTATAATTGCTTACGAGGTGCTGTAAATTGACATTTTTTTAAATGAATGGCTGTTCATGACTTTTCTGAGTTCAGACAATCAGTCTGTTAAAAGAATGAAACATAGTCATACAGATGTGCAGGTGAGCTATTTGGCATTTTAGTCAGATGGAAGCAGCAAAGTTTGTTGACTTTGTAATTTTCTGTAATTTAAGAATTTGGATTATTAATTATTCTCACTTGTAAAAAGATTGTTAGTTAGAAGATAGCCTTTGTTAGAATCATATAATTTAATGGTTTAGCCTCCGAAACTCAGGAGAAATTAAACTGTTAATATAGTCACCATCACCACCGTTCCTCTAATGCAGACATGTCAAACTCGCGATGTCACATGACGTCGCGCAACGTATCGGAGCTTTTTCGCCATTGCCGGCAATGGGATGGCCGCGGCTCCGGTATGATGAAACTGGGCAGCGGGCCGGCAGTTTGACACCCCTGGTCTAATGTTTGTTTAAGTTTCAGTATGTAGTTTTCTGGGTTTTGGTGAAGCCAGTTATAGCCAAAAAACCAGCAAACACATTCTTGTCTTATTTTTCTAGGTGTATATTTCTATCTATCTGTCTATCCTCCCAGTTTTATTAATGTACAAAGCTAGTAAAGAAGAGGTAATTAGCACTGTAAATTAATTATATGATGTACCCATAAGATAGGAGTGAACTATTTTTAGTCCCCAGCAGTTCCAAATTGTGATAGCAAAATTATATAATTTGGGGGGCATTCAGATATCTTAGAGATTTTAAGTGTGGGAGTGAGAGACTACTTGTACCCATTCCAACATAAATCTCTAAAAACAAATAGTTAAAAAACTTACCCCTGGCCCTTTTAGTGTTATCATAGTGTTAATAGATAGTATCCCATAGCTTTTAGGAAGGTGTGGAGTCTGTATTCCAAATGTTGCCCAGTCCTGTTTTAAGGGAACTTCTTTTCTTTTAGCAAGCATGCTGCAGACCTGAGAAGAACCTTGTGGGAAGGGTTGGGGTGGGTGGGAGAAAGGGAATATAAATCTATAGTAGAACTTGTGTTCTAGTGTGTTTATTCCAGAAATCAGTTTTGGATAAATGGAAGAGGCATGGACTTTTCTGAATGGTAGAATTCTTGTGTTTGTTGGTAATTCACACACTGTATGGCATATGCATAATTCATATTGTCTGCTTTATTTATTGAATGAACAACAATAGGTTGAGTTAATGGAATATACTAATTTATAAACTTAGAACTACAATGACTGGGTTTATATGTTGCAGTAGGCTGAAATAAAATGTGTCTTGATTCAAACCAATTTTTCTGTTCATTTCAGGCTGGAATGATTGTTTCTTGATTAGTTCTTGTTTAAAGCAATGAAATCTCTTAGCTGATAAGTAAGGTCAGAATTTACTGCCTACAGTCTTCTGGATCTAGGGGCAAATGACAAATTTTCCTGCTTTAAATTATGGCTTTCCCATCATATCACTATATCAAAAGGCCAAGCTATAACTTTTGTTCTTGTTCTTTTGTAGCAGTTTATTTTGGGGAATGAGAACATATTACTTAGAAACATTTTCAGTTTGCCATTATTTTGGGGTTTTCTACTCCTTCAAATATTTCATGGATTTACTGAAGGAAAGACTTTGTCTTATCTTACTGCTTTGGGGGATTGTTGATTCACATGGCTGGAGGGAAAACAGGAAATGAAAAAGAGAGTTGCCACTGTGAAACTTGTATATTTGCTTCTCCTGATATTAAACATTTATTTGCTCTTGATTTTCAGGGTCTTGGTTGGTGCCCCAAAGGCAGATTCTAAGTACAGTGCTTCTCTTAAGTCCCCAGGAGCTGTATTCAAATGTCGGGTTCACACTAACCCTGATAAGAGGTGCACAGAGCTGGATATGGGTCGAGGTATGCACGAGTGTACAACCCTTTCACTTTATTTGTTTTGAATACATTTTTTTTCTTCCAAAGAAACATAGAACCTTCCACATAAAAATCTGACTATGCTTCATCTACAAGTTGATGTACAGGAAATGGCCTTCTTAAAAGTAGAAACAGTATAGTATGGGAGGGCATTGGAATTAGAATCATTGGGCGGAATATGGTCCTTCTTATCTGCTTTTATTTTCTGTTAGCTTGAAGAACCAAAGTAACATGGAAATAGGCATTTCTGCCTCAGATGTCAGTATTTTCCCGGTTTTTCCCCCTTTGTCCTCTCTTTTATGACCTCAAAGGGCTCTTAGTGCTTTGATCTAATAGTTTTCTGAAGTTGATGATAGAAAAAAAACATTAGACCTGCCATTTCTGGAATGATTTGCTCTACATGTTTCCTGCTACCCTCTGTGATAGCACAACCTGAGTGTCTATGAATGACAGCTGGTGGGAATTTGCAAAAAATGACTCAGTTGGCTAAGAGAGATTAGATCCTTTCTTTCTTGATATAATCCCCACTGTAACATTTTAGAAAGTAACTCTTCTTAGCCAATATTTTAATAATGATTTCATATAGGTTTTCAGTGGAATGTCTAATACCAGGATTGACCAAGAATTGCCGGTCTCTGATGAACTTGGTAAACATTTTTAAAGAAATATTTCCTTTATTGATAAGTGTACTATGCTAAGATTAATAATTCTGAATCCACCAGATGGAAAAAATAGTGGTCAGTTATCTGTAGTGCCATTTCCACTAGAGATACTTTATTGCCATCCTCATCATTTCTAAATTCCCACTCTTCTTCCTGCATTTGTTATAGCTAATATTCGAGGAACATTCTGTGGAAAGACATGTAAAGAAGACAGAGATGATGAATGGATGGGTGTCAGTTTGGCAAGACAGCCAACGGTTGGAGGAAGTATATTGGTAAGTTTTCTCTTGATCTCATTGAAGTGGGAAATGTCATATTGACATTGACATAAAACGTGTGGGAACAATTATGTTGTGCCAGAGACTGATGAGAATTCAGTTAATTCTCTGCTTCCTTTGGGAGGAAGGTAAATTGCATCCTGAGGACAAAGCTTGCATCTAGAAAGGCATCTTCAAAGCAATTACACCTGCTTCTGTCATCCCCAGGGCTTCCTTTTCAAATTGTAGATTTAGCACTTGGAACAGAATGAATGTCACCTTGTGTTTCTGTGAATAAGCCTGCTCTCTTTATTTCCTTTTAAAAAATATGCATAGATGTTATGCATGTGTGCAGACTTAATAATATTTTAGGCCATGTTTCATAATTTTATATTTCCTGCTTTATGTTTAAGCTAAAAATGAAATAAGTGAATATTGATATTCCTACACATTTTTATGGATGGTCTTTTTGTAATTAGTAACCAAGAAGTCAGTGGAAGGTAAATTTTTCAACAATGAAAAATAGCATTTTACAATGATGAAGTGTGCTGTTCTTGATGGCTCAGAATTACAGTTCTGCAGAATAGTCAAGGTTGAATTGTGAATGGTTTGTCTCATCTGGATTCACTTTCAGTTTATTGTACCAGTTGATTTTACTCCTGCCTCCAGGCAATGATTCAGGATTTCAGTAATCTCACTGGAATGTGGTGGAAAGAAGAGATAGAGTCAGATCCCAATCATGTATCAAACTTAAATCTTAAATGACTTTCCATATTATTTAAAATACACATTAAATATATAGCAAGACAAGTAAAACTTTGATGGAACCAAAAGTCAATAGCTTTCTGAAGCTGCCCTTTCAGTTGGGATTTAAACCATTATATCCCCAAGCTGCATTCTTTAAAGATATCAACAAAGAATACTATGGTTCATTGCACAAGAAGTTCTTCAGAGGTTTATCAGAACCTGCTGGGAGGTCCAAGGCCATTTGCATCCCCAAATACTCTCTAACTTCATTTAATCTCAGCCAGGAAAAATCTCAGCTGAAGACTCTTTATGCACAGCCAGGTACTTTGCTGAAGATCATTTATTGGAAACTTGATGAAAATTCTCCAATAAAAAGGTTTTCCTCTTTCAGTACCCTTGTGTAGCCTCTTTCAAACACGCATAGACATATTGTGGTAATGAGGATTTTTCTATTACCAGAATGCACATATTCTGATGAATTGCAGCCTTTTTCAACATGCTTTGTTACATGTATAACTTACTATGATCTAGGAAAGCTGAGTTGCAATTATTTGAAATAAAACTTTGGAATACCTTTGGTATTCCAAAAATACTTTAAAGAATGTCTCAACAGCTCTTTAAACCTACTTCTCTGTCTCTCTCTCTCTCTCTCGCCAGTAACTGTACCTATGTATATCTTCTACCACAAAAATGTGAATATGGAGACATTATACAAAGGATGTTTCAGCCTTAATGGACCTTAATGCAGAGTATGTTGTTTTAATGTAGAAAGAGGTAACTTCACATAGTTCCTCACCTGATGAAAACCATTGCTAGCATTGATATGTATGAATCAAGACTAAATTAGATTTGGACAGCAAATGGTGTGATTTTAGTGCTGTGTTTAAAGAAATTATTTTTTTCATGATGAAACTTTGGTTCTTTTATTGACATGTTTTATCTGAAACATGACTGGCTATGCCATATTAAATCATGGATCTGTTAAATATCAGTTTGAAGACTAAATGGAAGGCCAGTGATTGATAAATTGCTGACAACATATATTTCAAATATAATTTTGGTAAGCGATTTGGATTTTGAAGTATCAACCTGAGGATTGGTGTTTGCTTTAACTTAAGTGTTTCAAAAAGAGAGGAAAAGTTCATCCAATGCTAATGGTGGAAAAGTGCTACTTGGGGACAGTCATTAGAACTTGGAGAAGAACCACCTGTCTTAATTTTGCTATACCATGCATTTATTATATTTATTATGAAATTTGTTTCTTCCCTCTGCTGCTACCCTCTTCTGAAACAATTAAAGAATGAGTAAAAGCACAAATTCATTTGTTTCTATCCTGTGTTCTCAAGGACATTGAAGTAGGATTACAGACCTGAGCATTTGCTGAGGGCAGGGAGCAAATGATGACATCTCTGATATAATCACAAGTAATCCAACTTGTATATTTTCCATTGGGCATTAGGAGGCAAACTGAATAATTGCATCACTTGTGTGATCAAGCACATGTCATTGTTTTGACATTGTAACTTGTAACAGAACTTACAAGGTAGATATCTGTGATCGAGACTTCGGGATCATTTCCTTATCCATTTGGTTATATTTTATATTGTGGCATGACTCATTTGACTTACTTCAGTGCGATATATTGAATAAACACAATAAACTGAATTGATACATAGTGATAGCTGTAAACTGTGATTTGCAAATCATAGTGGCTGGGCTCAGTATACTAAGCCAAAATCAAATAAACCAAATTATGGCATGTTGTATTGCATGAGGAAAACCTAATGAATGAATTGACTTGAAATCTATGAAGGCCTGTTTTTGAGATCAGATGTACCCTTGCTTGATAAATATTAGCCATGTGTCCTCTTATCCTGTAATCTGAAATATATTTAATTAGTGAACTGATTCATTAGTAGCATTCACACATTCTTGTGGTTTTGGCTTAATATGCTGAATCAACTTATCCAAATGGTTTGTATGCCATAGATGTCCTTCTTGATCAGTATTTAAGTTATGTTATTGGTAGAGGTGAGTGGCATTTTCTCTGGATATAGAAACAAGTAAATATTTTAGAAATTGTAGCATTGGGAAGCTTTATTTACTTTATTTTGTTTTAAAGGAACTTTTTATTGCTATGGCTTATGCTAACTATATTTTTCTTGTATTAAATATTCCTTTTTTTCTTCAAATATGTTTGTTTGTCCAGTTTCCTCTGGAGATTTGTAGAAATTTGACCTTAATGTTGTATGTTGCCTATGGAATGCCATCTTCCAGGAGAAAGTTTGTTTGTATTTTGCATTTATAGTGCCAATACTTAAGAAAAAGAGCTACTTACTGAACATTAAAAATATAAATATTTGATGATTTTTAAAAAAAATATATAAATATAGCAAATATATGGAATTAAAAATGAAATAAAATATCATAACTGGGTTAGGCAGAGCAAAAAACCAAGTTCAGTTTCTTCTAAGGTTGCTTATGTACATCTATCTATCAAAGGAGAGAGCTATATAAAAATTCATTTTAGTATTCCATATTCTGCCATAAAAGTTCTTTATATAGGATTAAGGGTATCAGGAGGATTGTGGGATTAATCTCAGATCAGTAAATAAAATTAGATTGTTGAATAGAGCAACAAACTGAACCTGAAATTCATGGTCTGTTGCTGGAATGAGCAAATTGTGGATCAAGGGTTGTGATTTCTGATAAGAGAGTTTCATTCTTTTTTTTTTTGCATTGTAGGAGTAAAAGAGAAGGAAAGTTTGGATCCACTTTTAACTATGGACCTACTCATAATCCTGCTATTCAGCCCACATCTGAGAAAAAGTTTGCCCAATCATAGTATAAAGAAAGCATACTCATGTAAATTTTCTTCAGAGACTAGTTAAAATCCTGCTGACTTTATGAGCACATCTGCGTAGGGTTCTTTTGGCAGCAATATGCAAATAGTTTGTTATTGCTTTCTCTCCAATTTATAATTAATCTTTGGGATTTCTTTGTGGTTTACATCCAAGAAATAATCAGGTCTAACTTTGCAATTCAAGATTGGCTTAATTAATGTAGGTGTTGCCAGTTAGCTAGATATTTATCCTACTACTTTCTGGAAAACAATTTCCAACCACTAACAAAATTTTTAAAGTGTTTTCTCTCTTTCTTTAGGCTTGTGCCCATCGTTGGAAAAATGTCTACTATGAAACTGAGTACATCCTTCCTCATGGTTTTTGCAACATCATCCCTCCAAACCTTGGATTGAATGGTAAAAAGTTAATGCCTTGTTATGAAGGTAAGGTGGCATATTTATTTTTTATTATCTATGCTAGTACTTGTGATGGATTTTATAATTACATTCCCCCTATTAATTATAGTTGTGGCAATCAGTACTTTTAGAATGCTCTCTTTATCCTGTAAATTAAATTATGACGTAACTGTAGTACTACTATCCTGTTACAATATAAAAATAGAGGACAATTTTAGTTTACTTGTGCTTTCCAGATATGTTGGGATTGTAATTCCAAGAACATCTGGAGGCACTGGGATGGGGAAGGCCAATACAGTAATTGCTGTCCAACTGTTCCAGTGTGTTAAAGGCTGGGCTTCAACTTCCTTGGAAGGCAAGATCAGTATTTGACTTTTGAGTTCAAATCCTGAGCAAGAGTTTGAATGATTGTGTTTAAAAAAAGGCACTACATGTTCAGATTTTAAAGGGTATATTTTCCTCCATTCTATATTTTGTGTAAATGTATAGTGTTGCACCACCTGTTAAATAGGGCCAGTTGTCTGACTTGAATCAGTGATTTTCTTAATGTGGCATGGACACTGCTGTTTTGAATTCCATAGGCAGTGAAGCGAATCCCTCTGCCCACCGAATGAAGAACTGTATACTAAACAGCTGCAGGCTTTTTCAGTTGTGTCTGAAATCCTTCCCATTCAACTCTGTATACAAAACCAGCTTATGCTTTATCACCAGAGAACTGCAGTCTAACTGCCAAACCAAGCAGTCCTTGCTTTGGTTCTGTTCATCCTCTTCTCCTTCTCTTCCTCCTCATTTCCCTTGCCATCTTGATCTCCTTGGGCCACACTATACATTTTATCAGGACCCTTCTCTTTTGCGTTTTGAATATTACTGTCTAATTAACGTCACATACCTTGCTCATTATGTATTAACAAAGGAATAATTCATCAATTATTTATTTATTTTATGAAATTTATAAGAAGCCCATCTTATGGTTCTAGGTGACTCTTGACTCTTGCATTATGTACTTCATAATGCAAGACATCTGATAGGTCAGTTAAGGAAAATGGGTGTCTGTCTAGACTAACAAATTAGAAAAAAATTCTGGAATATACTTTCTGGGATATTTGGGATTTTTTAAAGTACTTTTTATTGCCTTCCTCTTTGGGAGAGTTAGAAGTTGAAGAGAAGAACATTGAAATGAAGTGATTTACCCCCAGTCTCTTGAGTATCAAGAGACAAGACTAGTTGACTAGTTTGAAAAAAAAAAGGTATCCATTGTGGGCTGGATTGCATTAACTCAAACTGTGGTTTGCTTGGATTTAGCTTAGCTTGATGTATATATCAGTCGTGCTCACGTAATTTATGGCATCATGTGATGTATAACTCCTTTTGTAGAGTATTTAACAAATCATGATTTAGTGCAGCAAGAAAAATCCCTCCTCCACAAATGTCTTGATCAATTCTTCTTTTCCTATGTAGTCTGAGCTGGAGATCCTTTGAAAAATCTCTCGTTCCTTATGACAGGAAATGAAACTGACTGGATTTATTTTGGATAGAGCTTAGGAATGACTATATCCTTAATGCACTGTGATTTTCCAGTGATTGCTTCTTCTCCAAATCCATAATGTGATCTGAGACAGTGGTGAAATAAAAAGCTTCAGAATTTTTTTTGGCAAGAACTGAGCTATATTGGATTTTGCAATTGGTAATTGATGTTACACATTATAAGTTAACTTTTCTTTCTTTACATATGCCAGTTAGTTAAGCTAGAAAAATAGAAGGGAAACCATATGCCTAGAATTTGTAACCTTTTATATTTTTGATGATTAGCACACTGTTTGCAGACAACATTGTGGAATATAATTGTCTGCTTTTAGTTCCATGTTTGGAGCAATGAATTCAGCTCATCTTTAATAAAAGTAAAGAAAATTATAAAATTCTCCCACTTGGAAGACTCTCTTGATTAGTATTTCCTTCTTTTAATTGGATCTGCTTTAAGGATTATATAGTATAAATTTGTATTACAAATGCAATATCAGAGATAGAGGTGAGCACAAATATGTGTAGATGTGCCCATGATTAGTATGCAGGTGTTTTTTTTTTGAGAAAAATAACCCAGTAACTCACTCTTAATTTGAAAAGGTATCAACCAGAAATATTTATAAAAATAGTAGTGGGTTGACTCAAGATCTTTAAAGCAGTGAGTGGAAAATTGACAGATTTGGCATGGCTAGCATGCAATTTATTGTGCTGGAATCTGGGCAGAAAATTGGGGACTAGGCATGTGTCTCAGTTGCTAAACTGACCCATCACAGAGAATGGCCAAGTATGCTTTGGGAGAATACAATAACATTCAGCTTTATTAGCTATATCTTCTAGAGACATGGATGTAATAAATTGCTCAGAAGAGTTGTGTTTTAAATTCAATAGATCCTGCCTTCCTATGATAATCCTTTTTCATCTACTTTAAGAAACTAACTGAGTACCTTGGCCTAGAGACTACAATTAAAGAAATGTAGAAATTGAGAGGGGGATAGAAACTGAAAAAATACCATGAGCGTTGATATTCAATGTTTGTTGAACATTATTTTCTGAACAAGGCAAGTTTGTATGAATTACTTTCAGCAAAAACAAAATCATATACTGTATTAGCATAAAGCCCCCCAATCAACACTGCAGCATTCCTCATGGTATTTTCTTCTGTACTGATAATATTTCGAAATGGAGAGCTCACTATAGAAATTTCTCAGGGAACTTTTTTGTTTCCTCCATCAGAGTTAACCATGTCACAGTATTAGATAATGTTAACCCTAGAAAGGATTAAATTAGAATGACCAAGCATTGATATAGATGTAGTCATACATCTGTATCATAGATAATCCCAATATAAGAGATTTGATTCAATTTGCATCCAAACATGGCAAAAGATAGGGAAAGAAGAATGTAAACTGATAGATCATTCTTAACCCTGATTAAAAATTGGGCTTTCAGTGGGAAACATTCCTATTTTTTAAACTCAGATACATATCATACCTGGAGGAGATGCATAAATGTAATTGTAATTTGTAAATCATAACTAATGGCTTTGTATGTTATGTAAGCTATTAATTGTGGTTAATTCAACAAACAAAGTTTTGGCTTAATGCAATGTACAAGACCAGCTACAGTCTTTTTTTTAAATGATTACACTTTCTAAAATAGCATCAGAATTCATTTAAATGTTGCATAAAAAGATGAGAATAATCAGGTGAGCTAGCACTACTCCCATCTTCAACACCTTCCTTCTGTTGGAAGGAAATAGTTGCAGAATCATTTCAAATCTTAATTTTACAGTTTTTTAAAGAGCTATTTAAGAGGACAGGAAGGTGTGTGGGTGTAGATACAATTTATTTATATCTTGATTGCATGCATATCAATGGCATGTTTAACGTTTCCTTTTTCTTATTTTGCTCTTTCTGCAAACAACCTTACATGATAGGTTGGCATGGGAGCAAGTGAATTATGACTGAGGGTAGGCTAGAACATGGTTCTCTGGTTCAATACCTTATTCACTACAACATTCTGGCATTCTTCTTTGAATGCCTAAATAAGCTCTGGAGCAGTGGTTCTCAACCTGTGGGTCGGGACCCCATTTGGGGTCGATCGACCATTTCATGGGGGTCGCCAAGCAAGGCTGTCCGCCATTTTTTTTCTGCCATTTTTTTTTGTCTGCCATTTTTTTCCCTTTTCCGGCTGGTGCCTTACCTCCCTTGGGCTGGGCCAGCTGGTGGTCGGCCTGCTCCGTCTCTGCCGCTTGCAAGCTACGCCTCGGCCGGCGCAGGGGGCGGAACCACGCATGCGCGGCGCTCCCGGGCAGGGAAAATCCTCGACATATGACCGGTTGGGTAGTCCTCGACTTACGACCAATTTAGTCCTCGACTTACGACCGGTTTAGTCCTCGACTTACGACCGGTTGGGGTCGCGGCATTAAAAAGGTTGAGAACCACTGAGTGTATTTAGTATGGCTGGTCTTAACTGTAATTAAAATGTGTATGCTTTAACATATGGTGATAGGAGACAGAAACCTTTAAAAACATTTACATTTAGGTTTGGTAATCACATTAAGATTATTTAATGTTTATGATAAATATAACCATACATCAGTATCTGTTAATTGCATTTTTGTGATGCAGCACATCTTGAGAGCATTTCTCCAATTAAATGTGATTATAATGTGAGAGAGAGTGAGAAAAATAATTGAAAAGATTATTTGCAGTTTTCTGCCTTGACAGACTTACATAATTTCTGGGATATTTTGGTTTATTGCGTTCCAGCTTATGGAAAGTTGGCTTATACACATTAAACTGGTTTTTAGTTTGTAGATTTTAGTAGAATGAATAGGTCTTTCTTTTTTAAAAGATATTTTATCCAATTTAAGGAAGTACTGACAGTCCATTTACTATTTTTTTCCTTTTGAACAGAGAGTTTCTGAATTGAGATTTATTATTCTTATGGTCTGTCCTGCCTAAAGGAATAGATTGAGTTCCCCATAGGACAATTTGCCAAGTAATTCCCTGTTCATTCCTTGAAATTTAGCAGTGGGTTGGTGGTTAGCAGTTTCAGAGAGTTACTAGGTTACATGGTGGCTATTTTCAGAAACCAAAGCACTGACATTTCTCTGAATTCATACATATCCTTGGGAGCATATTGCAAGAAGCAGGAAGTGAGCTTTCCTCCCCTCCCAAAAAAGCACATTATTTGGGGGATGTGAAAATGAAGTCCAGAAGCTGCTCAGACCAATTTAAATCGCTGGTTGAGACTGTGAGCAATAAAGCATGAGATTGTTATGGTGCATCTAAGATACACAGTAAAACTGGTTTTATATTGTTTGACATATTTTCATTTTCTTCAAACAACTGTTGTGATTATAATACTGTGAGAGTAGGAGAAACAACTGAAAAGATTATTTACAGTTTTCTGCCTTTGAAGAAATACAATTCCTGGATTATCTTGGTGCATTGTGTTCTCTATTACTGGTAAAAAGTAGCTTTGGGAGCCATTATTGTGCTGAAGCAACAGATATGAGAACTAGCTTAGTGTCACTTCTGAATAGTGTTATAAGGTACGCATGGCAAGTAGCCCTAGTTAAAAAAAAATGGTCAGCCAAGGTTTCTTGGCTGTGATTTGCTCAGTAAACCCCCAAGGCTGTAATCAGCTCTTATGTTAACCATAGTTGTCCAGCCAGTATAATTTCATAGATCTCATTTGGCCAAAGTAAGCAAACATGGATTGCTTTGGACAATCGGTAAATCCAGTCATAAGCCTATTGCATTTGAGTCTAGTTCCATGTACTGGGCATATTATAGTTACCCTGAGTGATGTTCCTTGGTGAAAGTGTTGTACACTGGAAGAGTTGGTTGAAGTTTCTCTTCTCCCCAGGCCTGATAAATCCCAAGACTTGCTTGTATCTTTCTTTGTTCAATGGACTGTTGTTTAATATAATGGTTATAGAAGTATTAATATTATAAGATGTAATAATGATAGCAATAATTTTGGTCATTCACAGCACAGTCAATATTCATGACATTGTAGGGTTTAAGATAAGTCCACAAATGGATTTTTTATGCCTAAAAGCATACAGTCTAAAATGTTGCAGTAGAGAGGATAAGTAGGAACTGAGGGAAGCAGGAGTGGCAGAGTTTTAACTTTAGACAATAAAATTGTGGTTATTTTAGCCTTCTCATTAAGAACTCATTGAGGAGTATTTTTGCCAGCCTCCAATTAGCTTTGTAATTTTCAGTAAACAAATAATCAAGCTTCCCATGTATTTCTGCATGTTTAAAGCTTTTTTACTTCCTCCTATCATAAAAAATCCAAAACATGTTTTCCTCTGTGAATAAAGTTATTTGGTTTGACAACTGCCAAAGAAGCTTGAAGTTTGCTAATGTCCCAGAATTTGCTCTGCGGTGAACCTCACTGTCTTAGTTTATGACAGCACATATGGATTGAAGAGAAGGGGAAGAGACTATTGAGTTGGGAATCACACATTTCTGGTAGGGACTGACATGACTGCATTTATATCTTCTCATCTCATTTCTTTTTTCTACCTTAGAATATAAGAAAAAATATGGTGAAGAACATGGTTCATGTCAGGCTGGAATAGCAGGTTTCTTCACAGAGGTGAGTGTGAATTGTGAGAAGGCTTCAGTATGAAATAAAAAGTTTGTTTGCCTTTTAAATGTTGATTTACTTGATTAATTATATACACACATTATTATATTGCATACGTACCATCACATTGTTCCCTTTCAGGGTTAGCAATGCAATGTACAGAGAAGGAAGAACTCCATACTCTTCCAAGAAGCTTCTACATCTGCTTTCTTCATCCTCTTTCCTAGATTAATCTATCTCCTTTTCTTAGGACTTGTTCTTGCTGCTGTCATTCTGCTTTCAGTCTTGTTTTTTTATTTCTTTTCATTTCTATAATGCTCATCTTTCTCTCAATATCCATCTTGATGTGTCAAAAAATGGCCTGTCCCCATTCAGAATCTAAAATAATCCTTGGTTCTTCACTAACTTTCTCAACCTTGCATTATAAAATCTCATTTCAGTCATGTTTTTAGATTTATGTTAATTCCTTTCTCATGTAGATGTATGAAAAGAACACTTAAGTTAAACCATGTACCTGAAACAGATCTTTCTCTAGACAAATATTCAGCAGTCTCCATTCATTGTTCAGTCTCCAAATGATCCAATAGCTTTTTCTGTATTCTTATCTCATTCCTGCCCATCCAATCCTGTCATACAACAGTTTAATTATTTCCCCAAATTTCATTAATTTAGAATGTTGCACAATTTTTTTAAAGCAAAACATATGTGTTTTTTGCATTAATACCATTCTCTAGCAAGCCAAAAACATACTATTGCCAGCCTATGGATTCACACTTAATAAAAAACTATAGCAACCTATATGATTCCAAATATTATGTTCTGATACATATTTTAACCCTATCATTCATAACTTTTATAATATCTTTATTAAAGTTCAGAATCAAATATTAAAATACAAATTTTATGTTAAAGGAACAGGAAATAACAAAACAAAGTAAAAGGGGCAAAAAAAATCAAATTTATAACAAAAATAACTTCTGACTTTCTTTTATTTCAAAGATAATATCAATACAACAACCTTTCTCTCTATTTAAATAATAGTACTCTTTAAAATCAACATTCTAAAAAAAATTATTCCCAACATATTCTGTTCTTAATTCTAGTCTCACACATAATAAATTGTCAAATGTAAATAAACTTATATTTAAAAAAACTACAATATTTCTATAATCAAATTCAATCTAATCTCAAATCACAAAGTCAAAAGTTGATTTGTCTTGTAAGAAAGCTTACAGTGGTCTCCAAGTCACAAAAAATGAAAATAAACAGTTCTGAGCTATAAGCACAATCCCTGTACACAGCGGAAGGTACACAAAAGGAATATATGGGAAAAAGTGTGAATTAATGGAGGAAATGGAGGAATAAAAACAGATATATCATGTGAGTACACAACTAAGAGAAAGATGAAGATAAATCTAAATGAAGGCGGCCTGACCCTACAGAGAGGAAATATATGAATATATATTTTATAAATGATGTATCAATGGCATTCAACTCCAATTAAATTGTACAAGATGTATAAGAGAATCTCAACAAATATTGGAAATGAAATCAATCTGAAGATGCTTTTATCATATTGGGTGGACCTGTAGGAAAGCTAAAATGTTTTAGAATCAGAAATTATGATGGTTATTATTATTATTATTTAAATTTATATACCGCCCTATCTCCCTTACGGGACTCAGGGCGGTGAACAGGCAATAATAAAAATTGAGAATATTGTGAATAATGGACCTTTTTAGGAATGGCAAAAAAGCAGTTGGAAAGATGGGACTTTATATGATATCAGCAGCAATGTTGCTACATTCCCATAGTTGGAAAGAATCCACCTTCAAAGAATGGAGTTTGAAAATAATGTAGCTAGCTATGATGGCAAAATAATTTGACTTCTTTTCATTTTTTTCATGAATGACTTATTCTGAGTGATAGTGGCATTTCAAGGATGAGAAAAGGATACTTCCTAAATGTATCAGGATTGTATCTGGCACTTTTATATACAAACAATGATGATTAAGTTTCCTTTGGCCAGGCCTCCATTACTCCTAACATTCACCAGCTGGAGGGCTATAGATGAATTCACTAGAAGTATGGTTTAATCAATGAAAGGGATATGTGGTTTTTTTTGTCCTTTTTCTCTTTTGGGTGTAAGGGGTTGAGCATGGCAATAGGGTTAAGAAACTTCTAGGAGGTAAATTGCTCCCATTCCTACCCTTCCATCTCTCCTCCTGAAAATCATGCCATCAAAGTCTGATAATAAAATAACTTGGACCATTGTGGAGAGTGGGGATTTTTCCCCCCCACTTCTGTATTTAGTTAGTACTATATTTCTGTGAAACTCTGCCCATTTTACATGTAGAACAACCTAAATTCAATCATTTTTTTAAAAAAAATAAAAACCTCAGTATGAAAAATCTGAACAGCTCTTCTCAGTCAGAAAATATATGTTGGATTGATGGACAAGTCTTTTGAATTACAATTGAGATACTGGGCCATTGATTTTTTTTTTAATGACAGCCAAATGGCTTTAGTAATGTCTAACTCTTGAGATAACTATACCTAATTTTCAAGGCAACTTTGAATTTGGCCTGATGGGTTTAATTACTCTGGATCTGGTAAACAAAACTTATGCCATAGTGTTCAAAAACAGTCTGGTGGGATCTTTCTAGGTTAATCTGAAATGGGTGGCAATCTTTGTGATGAAGTGTTTGATCATCAGTGCAATGTCAGCAGCAGCTGTTTCCTGGCTTGTCAGCAGTATCACGCTTGCTTCTTTTCCCAGGCTCTGAACTCCCCCTCTCCCCTCTCCCCCCTGTTCCTCATTCAGAAGGTGGCTTTGAACTTTCAGTGCACAGCCTCAAGCATTAGCCAGTTAACAATAAGCAGGAAATGTAGATAAATGGTCTCCGGGTCAAACAGGCAAGTGTCTAATATAGGAGCACTTAGTCCTGCTTATTCTGTTTTCTTCTCAGAGAAAGGTTGTACCTGATAGCCACTCACCAAAATATTGCACATTTAATTGCTTCTGTGTTTACATATATTAAAACAGCATGCCCACTGGCCTGCAGCTACTCCCTTGGTCTGCCAGAGGAGATAGAGACAGCTTAGAGCAGGGCTTTTCAACCTTTTCACCCATTGTACCACTTTTAGGATAAGGCAATATCCCAGTACCACCAGTTGCCTAGCAAGATGTCAAAAACTTGATGACCAAAAAAAAAAAGGAAAAAAATTATAAAGTACAGGTAGTCCTCAACTCACAACAATTCACTTAGTGACTGTTCGAAGCTACAACAGCACTGTAAAAATTAACTTATGACTATTTTTCATACTTATGACTGTTGCAGCATCCCCAGGATCATGTGATTTATATTAGGATGCTTGGCAACTGATTCATACTTATGACGATCACAGTGTCCCAGGGTCATGTGATCACCTTTTGCAACTTTTTGACAAGCGAAGTCAATGACTGGGTGTGTGTGGCCAGCTCATCACTCAGGTTGCGGGGTGCCTGTGGGGGATGCGGGCGGGGATGTGGGAGGAATCTGTGGGTCTCTGGTGGAGGGGGGTGGGAGTGACGTGGGTGCCTTCCCTCCCTCTCTTCCTCCCATTGTCCCTTCCTTCATTCCTTCCTTCCCTCCCTCTTTGTCCCTTCCTTCCCTCCCTCCCATTGTCCCTTCCTTCCTTCCTTCCTTCCTTCCTTCCTTCCTTCCTTCCTTCCTTCCTTCCTTCCTTCCTTCCTTCCTTCCTTCCTTTTTTTCTTTCTTTCTTTCTTTTTTCCTCCCTCCCTCCCTCCCCTGCTCTGTGCCCAGGAAGGAATAAGGGGAGGGGGGGCAGGCCTCCAGCACGGCTGGTGGCTGTGCCGCCGGTGGCCATGGCTTGAAAGGCCACTATAAATTGCTGGACAAGAGCCGCGTAGCGTTAAGAGCAGAGTGGCAGGAAAATATTTGTAATGAGGGAGAGAGAAAAACAGGCATCCCCTGAAGGAGACCAGCAAATGGTTCTTGCCCTTTTCACACACGTGTGGACTCCGGGGGATGAGACGCTGCGAGCAGCAGGAGAGTCCACATTTCCTGCACTATGCTGCCCAGACCCCAGCCTGGTTTCGTCAGGCAGTGGCACATTCTCCTCACTGTGCGAAGCATCTGGGTGAGGCGAACCTGCGACATGCCAAACCTGCCTATGCGTGCACAGAGCCAGAGGTGAGTGCATGCGCCTCAGCCTCTGCGCGCGCACAGGCAGGTTCGTCATGTCTCCGGTTCGCCTCGCCCGGCCTCTCTGCATGGCTTAAAAAGTTCTTTTTTCTCACTATTAGGCCTTAGTATTTATGATGTACTCTGCATAAATAAATCAGTATTCCTTCCAAAACTTGCTACTTTGAGCACAGACTTCATATATCATTTTAATTATATGCAGAGAATTAACATGCCCAGAATCGTTCAATAGTGAAATGGGTGGCATGTAAATTTAATATAAATAAGTCAACATGAATTGAGAGTAATTGTGAAGGAAAATTGACTGGTCTAATACAAAGTGAATTTTCACTGACAAATTTAAAGACAAGAAATTGCATTTTAGTTTTTAAAAAATTGTTTAATTCTAGTTTGTGTATAAGACTTTTTTGGAATAAGTGCATTAATTTTGAAGATGAACAACTGTCCACTTCCCCTGTGGTTCAAACTGGTGATTGGCTTAGGGATTGGTGGCTCCATCCTTCTTTTGTTCACATCTGGATCGGGATCTGGGCAGTTCATGTCAAGACATAACCTATCCTGAGCAGACAAGCAGATTTTCCTGATCCTAAAGAAACTTCTGCCCATTATGGTGGTTTCTGTGTTGCTGTAGTTTTAGAGCTGATAAGAGGTGGAAGGTAGTGGTGGGGGGAGGAATCTAGTACCTAACATGGAGACTGTAGCAGCATGTAGCAAAGGGAATCATTGGCAGAATTTCCCAATTCTGTTACGATACTGGACAAAGGTAAAATAGATTTCCTGTAATCCTTGAAGAAACAAAGAAAATGTCAAAACCAACAGATACAAAAGTAGCACATATAATTAAAACCAAGTAGATGATAAAGAGTGAAAATGATCAAAGTATACAATATCTCATGCGGATTCTGCTCATTCTGGCCCAAAGTCCTGAGGGAAGAGCCAGGTCTTAAATGCCTTCCGAAATACCTGCAGGATAAGGATGTTTGTTAGGATGGAGTAGAATAGTAGAGAAGTAGATTATTCTCTTTTCACTCTTTTCTACATTTTCAGAGCTTTCATTCCTATGACTTCAGTATATTTTCTATTTTTGGATTTAGTTTCGCATACAGAATCTCAAATATTAATTTCCATTGACTGTAGAGATTTAACAGACAAAACTCTTCTTTTGATAGGAGTTGGTTATCATGGGAGCTCCAGGGTCTTACTATTGGACAGGAACGATCAAAGTCTTGAATCTCACTGATAATACATATTTCAAACTGAAAGATGAATCTGTGATAGCCAAGCGTTACATATATCTAGGTAAGCAAAGCAAAACAGTTATTGGTCTTGAATATTGATGGTAAATTGATACTCACATGCATAAGTAATCTATGAGCTCTGGAATTCTCAAGAGGTGAAAACTCCAGGAATTGCAACTCTGGAAAGTTTGGATTCAGGAATTCTTCCACTCCCAGCCTTGATTATAATATTGCAAGTACACATTAAAAAAAAATCTAGTAACTTCTCCTGGATTCAAGGATTTGTAGTTGCTTTAACAGTCTCTGTCAGGAAAATCTTAGCACCCTTAGACAACTGCAAATCCCAAAGGGAAGCTAAGATTGATGGTAAGTCATTTAGTTTGTAATATATATGTGGTCTTGGTCTTAACCTGTGGCCTTTCTTAAAATCATTATAACATGCTTGGAAAATGAATAAATGATCCTGACCTAAAGAAGTCATTTTTCAGTAATTTATTGTTTCATGAAAATATGCCAGGGTACTAGGGAAATGTAGATATTATTCATTAGTAATCCTTAGAAATGTCTATTTAAAAATGCAGTCAGTTTCACAGGAGAAATGTTAATTTTTCTAATGGCTTATGTCCAGTTCTCAGTTGTGCTCCTCTGCTTTCCTTAACTATTTGTGTGTTAAGTCCTCATCTGTACTTTTAAGAAAGGATGGTGGGCCTCTTTTCTTCAGTTGACTATTGCTTGCTTGTTTCTTTGATTAGAAAAAATATATAGGTGTTTTCTCTTTGGAAAAAATTGAAAGTTAACATTTATAATACAGGTAAAATGCCTGTAATTCACAATGTGAAGAGAGCAAGGGGCCTTTCAAGTATGACGTAATGGTTTTACCAGGAAAAGGAATTGAACATTGAAGAGTGTTCATGTCTCATAATGTGTCATTTTAGAGTGGCAAATAAAATCATTTTGAAATAAATATTTTGCCTCTTTCAGGTATATTTTGTTTTATTTTGTTTATAATCCAAACTGACTTGTTGGATTCCTTCCCTTTTTCCACATACTATTATATTTTATATTTTATATATTTTCACTGAGAAATATGTAAACCTTTTAACATATCACTATTACATGTGGTTGCAATTTACTGATATTGTGGTGCACAAATTTCTACTTGATTTCGGAAAGTTGTACAAAAAATGGTTTCTTTCCACAAACAGCATTAGAAATTAGAGGGATCATTGCTTATACAGAAGGTACAAGGTGATTAAAATCCTGTACCTCTGTTACAATTTAAGCTGTAGCTACATGGATTCCCATGTAACTTTTGTTTTGTGAATCAGGTCACAGTATTAACCACTATGAACTTGTTTAATGACTCAGTAAAGTCAACCAAATTTCTAACTCACTATATTTAGTGGTGAGTTATGCCACTTGGATTTATGTGAATAATTTCTTTTTAACTTAATGTCTCATAATCCATTTTCATTTGAGGAGCATGGGTTATAGTATTTTGGAAAGTAGAGAAAAACTTTTAATTATCCATTTATTCCACATGTTGCTTGTTTTTCTGACATTTGCTATATACAATACTCTGTTGATTCAACAAATTAATAATGTGGTAGAAACTATCTATTTTACACCTTGTGTCTGCTTTTCAGTTTTAGTACTCTTCTTCCCTTTTTTGTCCTTGCTTTTAATTTTTTTTAATAATAACTATCATCTGTTCTGGTATCTTTTCTGACTTAAATTATTGTTCTTCCATGTCTCCTGCTTATATCTTCACTATCTTATTGTTAGGTAAAACTTGCTTGTCACTTCAAACCTTGAACAGTGAGTTCCTTTTCCAAAAAAGTAAGGCTCCCATAGAATTTGAAGGTGTTTTGCTTGAGTCTAACTTCCACTCTGAGAGAAAGGGGGAAAAATGCTTTATCCAGATAGATGACCTAAACCTAGGACCCATTTCCTTTTTTTTTTTTTTTTTTGCTGATATTTTCGGTCATTTTTTTTTCTCTGCTTGTCCACCCTAAAAATGCCCCGCTCAGGATATGCGGTGGCAGCAGGTCACTTCTCTCAGCTGATGACCACGGACGTCGTTGGAGGAGCTCCCCAGGATGGAGGCGTTGGAAAGGTTTGGTTGTTGATCAAACTTCAGCTCATAGTTTATCCAGGAGAAAATGGACAAGAAGTTTGGGGCTGCAGCAGTTTGAAGAACACTCCTTAAAAGAATTTACTGCCAGTAACAGAAGGAAGATAATTAATAGTATCTAGTTTGTCCAAGTCTTTCCTTCTCCTGTGGTCCAATTCTCATTGTTCTGAGAATCTCCTCACCCCATTTTCTAGCAGCAGCAGCAGCAGCAGCAGCAGCAGCGAAACCTCCCTTTTTAAAAATCACATAATTCATTTTAAATTCAAGCTGTTGCTACCATGTATATAATCATATTTGAAGACCACTTGGTTTGCGGTAAAAGAGACCAAAGGTTTAGAGAATCTTTGTACTACCCAATTCAATATTGCTTACTCAAATTAATAATGGTTTTTCATAGCAGAATTTATTTTTTAATCAGGAACTTCCACATTTCTGATAAGAATGTCCTAATAAGCCACAGGTTTCCATCCTTTAGAGTGAGTCAAAGTGTAAAAAATTGCTACTATATGCATTCCTTATATCTGTGCAAAGACTGCATTTAACCTCTAATTTATTTTAATCATTTTTAACAAGCCTGAAACGAATCAGAATCACTTTTGCAGATAAGCAAAGCATAAAAGCAAAGTTTCCTTTGGTCAGATCTTGGGTTTTTCCCCTCCCTTTTTGACTGCCATTGCTTAATGCTTTCATGAATTAGATAGACAGGGCAGAAAAATAATATAGAACTAAACTGGAAAACCACAAACAAGCCCATGTTTTTACATCTCATTAAGTACACAGTTGAAATCAGGAAGCTAACCACAAACCTTGCTTTCTAATGGATTTTACTGCTGTACTGTGGCATATTCATGGATCTCCATTTCTACATCATCCAGAGCCAAAAACAAACTATGTTATGGCTTTGTCAGCCACATGTTCCCCCAAGTCTAGGAAGGAATTTGATCTTTAATATAGTGCACTGCAATATATGACCCAGGATAGGAATGCTGTTTATCAGCCAGGTATGGAGGACTAACTGTATAATTGCTGCTCTACAACATTAAGCAAGATAGTTGTGAGGATCTAGTAGCATATCTTGTAGGTCAAGAGCAAGTGCTGATCAGTAGGCCAGTATATGAAGTTCTGGCTTACTTTAATGGGCAAATAGCCCAACTGCTGCTGAGTGGACATCTCTCATATATGTCTCGCATAAGATCATTACTTCTTGAACACAGTCTACCCAGCAACTTGTAAAGTAGATTGCTGTTACTATCCTGAAATATGATTGCTACATAAATCCACCTAATTTGACTACTATGAAATGTGAATCACAGTTTTTTAAATTGTAATTTTTACTTTGTACTTTTAACAATTAGATCTATAAACCAGCAGGATATTTCAGGGGCTAAAGCTTTCTGGAGAAAAATATTTTATATATGACAAATAATTATTACCAACATTACACCAGAAAGACAGTCTCCTTATGTATAAACTTAGTCATGCAATGTGTTTAGTATATTCTTAGTCTTTAAATACACCTCACTTTTGTAATTAGTATCCTGAGTGAGTATCAGTGCACTACAGGTACCTCCTTGTTGGTGGGATATGAAAAAGAGTATCCTGGCATGGAAGATAGTCTCTTAATTAGAATTCCAACTTGCATAATATAATGTGGTTGTGCTTGTGATAAAACTTGACTGTGTTTACTGTTAACAGGGAATGCTGCATGGCGCATGGAAATGACTAAGCCCAGTAACTTAATCTAAACCTTCTCCATCTTACTAAAATACATTTTGTGAAAGTTTTAATTAACCAGTGTCATGATGGGTGTTAGAGATTAATATATGTAGGCTTATCTGCTAGTCGTAATTTGGAAGACTATGACTTGGTATGTAAGAGGAGTAAATCATAAAAAATACAAATTACTGAATGAAATGAGTTAAGGAAAAGTAGACAGCATATAACTATGAAACTAAAAATGACAATGATCTAATAAATCTGAATGAAAGTGGTCAAACCTTTGGAATTAAAGAATACATGTATAGAAATAAAATATGTTTATGAATAAAAGCGCTAAAATGTTTGACAACATATGATTTGATGTCTTCTAGGTTGTGGATATATATGAAATAAGAATCCTTCACAAAGCAATGGCTGCATATTGTTCTTGAGTGAATGATTATAAAAAAAGAGCCAGAGTCTGAGAAAAAATTGTGTAACATTCTAAATGCCTCAGATCTAGAGGGAAAAAATTCTGTTGGTTTCATGGATAGATGCATAAGGAAAAGAGCAGAGCATACTTTAGTGAGTGGTCCACTAAAGAGTCTCAAGAATTAATAATATATAGTGTGCATTCTGTTAAAAAATGTTTATTGAAAAAAATGTGAGCATGATACTATTCACACATATATACTTTTCCAAGTATATATGCATGAATGAAAAACTATGATTAATTGGCTTGTTTGTGATGAAAGATTAAGTGAATTTGTGAAGGAGACAAGTAATGAGAAATTGTAACTTATTTATTTGGTAGTTTCAAGGATAGATTTGAGGAGAAATGATTGTGGAAGAAATGAAAAACAAAAAGAATGGCAGTAAAATGGCTGCAAGGGGAAAAAGTTCATAATGGGTGTGGGAAAAACGATTAGAAAATAAATAGATTTACCAAGAGACTGAATGGAAAGTGAAAGAGCCTGTAGAAACTGTTGGGAACAGATTGGAAAGAATGATAGTACAGAAAACTAAAAAGAAGTGGTTGAGGAATTATATAAGAGAAAGATTGCTGTAAAAATGAAAGGTATTTTATAAAGTATATAGAGTGAAAAATAGAATTATAGTGAATACTCAATGAAAGGAAGGAACACTTAAAAGAGGAGGAAATATGCAAAGCAAGTGTGATGGACATTTTAAAAAATGGCAGTGGATGAAAAGGACTAAACAAGGAGACAAAATTAAAAACAAAAAGTGCTGAAATGATTTTAAAAAAAAAAACATCAACCAAGAAGCAATAGATGGAGACTAATCAAGGAGAGATACAACCTAGAACTAAGGAGAAATTTCTGGGTAGTGAGAACAATAGATCAACCAGTGGAATGGATTGTTTTCCATTTGTCTGAAATGATATAGGGTCTCCTGCTTGGGCCAGGGGTTGGCTAGAAGACCTTTAAAGTCCCTTCAACTCTGATGTTCTATGTTCTTTGATTTAAGATGAGGAAATTTTTATAGAAAGGAGTATAAAAATAATAGTGATATGTTAAAGAATGGAATTGAAATATATATTGTATTAGTATCCAATAAAAATAAATGAAAGAGAAATCATATATTTTGAGAAATGTAAGTGCAACTGAAACAGCAGACTATATGGATATAATTTGCTTATAGCATCTGGTAGCATCTTTCATGACTAACAAATTTTATGAAAAGACATAAACTTTTGTGATATTTTGTTCTTACTTTGTTATCTGAATGCATCTGAGAAAGTGAGCTGCAATTCATAAAAATTTATGGTTTTAACAAAATTTGTTAATTGGAAAATATGCTACCAGACTGTTTCTGATCTTGAATCAGAATTAATAACTTGGATTGCCATAATAATTGCTTATGAAGAGGCTGAGTAACTTGTTTAATGTGTGCATGATGAGTTCATTTATATATGATGGTTGGAAGAATGCCATCACTTTTCCCTTAGGGCAGTGGTGGCGAACCTCTGGCATGTGTGCCAGAGGCGGCACTCAGAGCCCTCTCTGTGGGCATGCATGCCGTCGCCCCAGCATAGTTCGCCAGAGTAGCAAGCACGTGGCGTTTGGAAGCAATGGGGCAGGAAGTGAGCAAGCAAGTATTGGCCCCCTGGAGATGGCCCAGAGATGGCGAGGGACTGGTCCCTGCCAGCCTGGTCCCAGCCCACCCACCCCGGCCACGCCCACCCAGTCTGCTGTGACCACTGCAGCTGTGATCACCACAGCTATGCCCACCCAGAGGCCATGCCCACCCAGTGGGCCACGCTCCCACGCTCTGCCTGAGAGCACTACAATGCTGATGCAGCCCTGGCACGTTGCAATAAATAAGTGGGTTTTAGGTTGCAGTTTGGGCACTCGGTCTCTAAAAGGTTCGCCATTACTGCCTTAGGGAAAAGGGAAACTAACAAGAGTAAATGTAAAACCACGTGACATAGTTTGTTAAATGTACCTGGGAATGAGTTTGGCAAAATTCTAATTAAAGGGTGCAGGAAGTGATAGGGATTAAAACTGTATGGCAGGAGTGATCCGTGCAAACCAATTTTTCATCTCTACAGATTATGGAATAACAATTGGAAGGGACCTTGGAGGTCTTCTAGTACAACTCCCTGCTTATGCGATTCTGAACGAATGGCTGCCCGGTCTTATCTTAAAAACCTCCAGTGATGGAGTACCTACAACTTTTGGAAGGAAGCCGTTCCATTAATTAATTTTTCTCACTATCAGGAAATTTCTCCTTAGTTCTAAGTTGGATTTCTCCTTGATAAGTTTCCATTTCTTTCTCTGATATATGTATATAAATTTATAAATATATAATTATATATATAAATATACAATTATAAATAAATTATAAAAATATATACTGTAAACATATAATTATATAATTATATATGTATATAAATAAATACATTATATCTACATCTATAAAAATAGATATATATCCCTTTTCTCTGAGAAATAAATTAGTGATAAAAATATTTTGGTAGTATGAAATGTTTTACTCAAACACAGAATTAAAATAGATTGCTTAATAAGAGCAATATATGATGGAAAAGACAGCTATGAAAATAAATATAACACTTAGTGAATGATTCAGCTATTAAGAGAATTTCAGATTCTAACCAGCTGGACATTCCTCTATTATCAGTTAGGATAATATCATCTTCATTTTTGACAGGAACCATGAATAAAAAATATCCAGTGTAGGACATCTCTACCTTAGAAAGCTGGGAGATAAATTGAATTATAAATGGGAAAATAATCTGATTGAGATTTCAGTAATTTTATCCTATCGTCTTTGAATAAATTTTGATAAGGAAACTTTAAAAGAATCCTTTCTTTGTATGTAGGGCAGCCAAGAAGTCATCTGTTCTATATTGAACAGGTAGTGCAGCAAACATGACATCTTCTTTGGCTGCTCAAAATATTTATGGATAAACGTGTAAGGCATGATTGTGATGACATTAGAGCTCTATCAGATTGGGTCATGATGCCTTGTTTTAACCATAATCCTGAATGATATGCAGCAAATATTAGACTGTACAACACAGAGAGGAAAATGATATGAAAAGTAAAGTACTTGTGGTTTTCAGGAAAAACTGAGCAAATGAATGAAAATTGTACATCAATATTAAAGTAGTGGAAGTAGAAGAATTTATTTATGTTGGAAATGAGAAACTGGGGGGAGGGATTTTAAGAATTTAAATCTGGTGAAATGATAGTATGTAGTAGTTTGTGGATGGACTACAGCAAAGAATGAATGGTGAGATAGACAAAAATGGCTCCAAATAAAATGGTGTCGTCGTTTTCATGTATGAAAGTTAAATATATCAGGAAAAACATAAAATCAAGTTAAATATATTCAGAACGATGTATTTAAACAGGATAATATGAATGAAGGCTGAATGAATATGGATTGAATAGTAAAATGAGTGACCAGTAAAAAAGTTCATTGAGATAAAAGATTGAATTCCCAAAAATTATATGAAAAAAAAATGAATGGAAAAGAGGATGCCTGAGACAGTTGTGATTGATTCATCAAAGAAAAAGCCACTTAAGAACAAAAGGCAATGTATGAAGCAATGAAGCAGTGATGTGGGCATGGTGAAAAGAACGATGGTTTATAAGGATAAAATAGTATGGAGTGCAATATGAATGTTTGGTATAAACTTGCTTTATTGCTTCTCTCTCTCTCCCCCCCCTCTCTCTTAATCTCATGCTTTAATTCTTTTGGCTTCCTATATTTTATGCCTTTTTGCACTTTATATAACACTGCTTATCTCAAAAGAGTGTTGCATGATAGGCACATTGATATGCATGAATTGTGTCGGTTGATCTAATTATATTGGAGATAAAACAATTACTTTGTTGTTTTTTTAACTTTGTAGGTGTACATATTCCGCACAGATAGGAATTCTGGCTCTTTGATAAAAATCTTTCAGGCTTCTGGTAAAAAGGTGAGTAACCCTCAAGCAAAAATACATTTCCATACAATCAGCTTTTACAGCTAATAGTGTTTGGGGAGTTGGGCTTTAGGATTTAGTGACCATGGTCTTGAGAACAGATTTCCCAACATGTTACCAGCAACTTGGCTGGCATCTTCAAAGGCAGTATAGCATACCACTTTGCTCTGAAAATGCCAGCCACAGTTCCTGACAACAATGTCTGGAAATTTGTTCTCCAGACTGCGGTCACTAAACCCTGAAACCCAGCGATGACAAAAAATACATGTGTCACTTTTGTATAAATGTAATAAAGGGTACCCACAATGTTCTTGTCTAATCATTATATTTAGGTTGCTCATTAGCACAATGTTCTCGGGGCAAGAGTTTTCTCATTTGATTCCATTTCTTTCTTCATGCTGCAATTTTCTGAGCTGAGAACATTTTAGGGAGCAGATGTTTTGGATCATCCATCCATATAATCATGCATTATAAGTTTAGTGCTGGATTTTTATCAGCTTGATAGGAACCATTTTTGCAAATGCTATTAAACTGTTAAGGTGAACATATTTCTTTATTTGTAGAGCCTATGGTATCGGGTAAAGCAAAATTATGCAAAAACATCTGTAAGTTTCCTGTGCTTAACACTCTCATGTGACATCCAGATGAGACTTTTAGTAAGATGACCTCTGATGGATGTGTACACTACTAAACCATTCTCTGGCTACTTACAGGGTGGCATATAGTTGTGCTGCAAAAATAACACCAGGAGCTTTCTTTTAATGAAGTGCTGTTATGATGGCACATGGTCTGAACTAGTTGACTTTTGAAAATTGGAAATAAATTGTAAATTAAAGTTGTCAGATGTAAATGGCAAAAATGTAAAGTTTCACAATGACATTAGGCTTTCTCTTGGGGCAATTCTATGACAGATAGCTGAGATCTTTTCCTTCATGAAATTGTTCTAATCCGTAGTGGCATATTATTCAATAATAATAGTAATAATAATAATAATAATAATAATAATAATAATAATAATAATAATAATAATAATAATAATAATAATAATAATAATAATAATAATAATAATAATAATAAAGTTGGAAGGGACCTTGGAGGTCATCAAGTCCAACCCCCTGCTCAGATAGGTAACCCTATACCATTTCAGACAAAAGGCTGTCCAGTTTCTTCTTAAAAACTTCCAGTATTGGAGAGTTCACCGCTTCTGGAGGCAGGTTGTTCCATTGGTTAATTGTTCTGTCAGGAAGTTTCTCCTTAGTTCTAGGTTGCTTCTTGTCCTTCCTTCAGGCGCTTTGGAAAATAGCTTAACTCCCTCTTCATTCACAGTCTAGGAAATTAAAACAACACTGCTATACGCAATTGCAAAGAAAAAAAATCGACACAGGGAGTAAGATGCTGACTGACCAGCAACCCAGAAAAGCAAACAGAATTAGAGTTCTCAGACTGATCCTTGCCTTTCAGTTTCTTTCTACAGTGGTTTGTAAAACAGTGTCTACAACTTTTCAGTACTGAAAAGTCAATTTTAATTCAACCATGAAAGGCAGGATTGCTGCTGCATGACTGACCTGATCCATTGGCTGAAGTATGGGCTCAGCTTAGTTGAAGAAAAGTTGGTGGCTAAATTAAGGAGGAGGAGGAATTGCAATTCTTTTTAATCAGTAAGCAATAAATAGTAAATAGTTTTTGAAAGCCCAATTTGATGATCTTGCTTTTAGGTCAAACAGAACTTGTATTGTATAGCACAGTAACACATGATAACCTAATCAATAGTCTAAGGAAGTAACCAGCTCTGAGATTTCTCTAACACACTGAACTATTAACTAAGCACAATAAGTGGATTTGCACAGCCCATTTAGAAATAAACAGTTCAATTATATTTTGGTCCAGTGAGTCCTATTTTCACAATGAATGAAGGATACTTAGCATTTCTTGGCAAAAATCCAAAGCATATTCACAATTCAGGGCAGCTTCTTAAGTCGGGGTTTCCTTGTGAAAACTGCATAAAATGTTTCCATCCTGTGTACCTCCAATACATAGCATATTATTTCATAATGTAGAGAGTCTGTTTGATGCCACTACCATAGATATGTGATGCTGTCATAGTAATTTTGAAATCAAGTCATGTGGTGTGTGTCTCTTCAGTCTTAAATCTGCCAAATAGAGTCTTTTTTCAGTCCGGTCACTTGAGTCCAAATAACAATTGTCTATTATAACAATTAGGTTTTGAAAAATAAATTAGTATAATAAACTCAGATGGTACTCTCTGTCAAGCGCCCGGGAAAAAGGAGATTCAGGCAGCTCAAATGAGTATAAAGATTTATTGCAAGCTTAAGCTCTCTACAAAATTATGGCCAATTGACCATTAAGGGAAATATGGGAAAGATAAGTGAGACAATCAAGGTGGACTGGACTTAGATCTCTTGCTGGTGTGAAGAGATTCGTGACTTATGATGCATTTGACCCCTTCCTTGGGCTCAGTTTGGTCATCTCCTACACTGTCTTATCCACTAAGAACATTATATTTCCATTCCACCCTCAAAAGCTGCATGGAAAAGAAAGGCAGACTATTGACAGACTTCTGGATAACCAATAGGAACAAAGCAATCTTTGTCTCTAGAGGTAGGTTATTTCAGAGAAGAACACATTGCAAATTGGGCTTTCTCTAGGCCCCTTCTTGCTTATATTTCCAGGTGAGACAATTTTAATATGCCCTCTCCATTGGTTCTTATTAGACAGGCAATTCCATTTGGAGCAGACTGTATCTTGGAGACAATACTTATATGGCTGTATGGGTTAGGGTTATTATAGGTAATAATTAGCATCTTAAATTGAATCTGAACATTTGCAAGGAATCAGTGCAGTTCCTGGAAAAAATGATATCTTGTGAATAAATCAAATATACCTGGTCACTATATCACTATATAGTTGGTAAATCACTATACCTGGTCACTATATCAACAGCTGTATTTCAAACCATTTTATCTTTGGAATGGTCCTCAAGTTGAACTCATTTTAAATAGGCGTAACCGTTCAAAAATCCTTTAAATTTCAGTATTTAAATTATTAGATGGAATGAATCTTTTACTGCGGGGCAGTAAAACTAATTATCTGTGCTTGCACAAAGTGTTTTTTTAAATAGTATTTTGAGTTTCCCATACCCTCCCATTTGAAGGGCCATTGGCTTGGGTGAAAAGAAATGGAGAAAAAAATATTACATTGACACAAGATGCAATGAGAAGAAGGTTGAGGAGTTCACACAAGCATTCTGCCCTTGGACTTTTAGGTTCCCATGAAGGCCCTTATTCTATAATAACTTGAAACCGCTTCATTAAGTAATTTGCCATAGATTCAATCTTTGGATGAATTTTTGAGCTGATAATAGTTTCCAGTATTACTGAACTATATATCAGTGCATTTTTAGGCATAATTTGCCTGCCATAGGTCTATCCCTTTGTTCCTTCTGTTAATATTCCTGACCTGATCTTCTTATTAAAAAACCTGAACTTTTCAGTTGCTGAGGCCACATCTGCTTCCTGATCCAAAGGTGCTTTTTCAACTGGACTTCCTTGTTTTTCTTTGAAGATGTTTCTCTTCTCATCCAAGAAGCTTCTTCAGTTCAAAACAAAACATCTTAGAAGAAAAACAAGACAATCCAGTTGCCTCTTAAAAAAGCATCTTTGGGACAACCATGATCTGGATGACTGAGAATATCCATAGACATCTACTTCCTGACTTAATTCTCTCTCTTAACTCCATTGAGGTGATCATACGTTGTTTGGAATCTGCAAGAAAATGGTCAAAAAAGTATCCAGATAAATATTTTTTACACTGCATTTGTTTGATTCTTTTTTAAAAAGATGTCCTATATGTACCCTGAAATGTTTACAGATATAGGTGAATCATCATAATCACTTCAATACTCCAGGTATGTTTAAAGCAAGACTAGGAAAGCTTTAAGAAGAAGCAGAATAACAATTCCCAGTACCCAAGCTAGTATGGCCAACATTGAGGGACCCACATCAGTATTCTCTAAATGCCAGAGATCCAGTAATTAAAGTAATTACTTTTGCTGCATAGCAGTACTTCAAGGGTGATTCTTGTGGGGAAATGGAAGGGGGAAGGGGCTACCTGTATTGCTTTGGCCTGTAAAAGGAAGATGGGATAGAAGACAAAATAAGCTAGAAATTAAAGATGTGATGCTTTTAAAAATAAGAATGATGATGATAATAATATAGACTTAACAATTGTTGATAAGAAAGTCTAGATAATAGACAAAGCAATACCTGGAGACAGGAGAAGAGAAAGAACTGGAGAAAAATCACAAAATACAAAGGCCTGCAAATAACAGTAGAATGATTGTGGCAAAAAATAAAATAAAATAAAAGTAGTAACAATAGTAGTACCAAAACAACTGGTACACCCCTTGAACAGCATTGGTATTGAAAAATAATCACAATCAGTCAATTGCAAAAGGCAGCTTTACTTGGAACAGCTGACATCTTGCAACAATACTTTTAACACCATCAAACAACTGCCTATCCTCAGTCTTGATAAAAATGGTGGATAAAAATGTCAAATCCAGTCTATAACAAAAAGAGCAGCTGCCCTATCCAGCTGATTTTAGAAAACTCTTGCAACTGGTATTTACAGCTGCTGGTTGTGAGATGGATCAGTAAGTTGTTTTTTCACTTGGAAAAAAAAAGTTTGTGTGATTTCCTCTTGTGTGTGGGCAATATACTGAATGCTTTGTTGTGACTCGGCTTGGTTGCAGATGGGCTCTTACTTTGGCTCCTCCTTATGTGCAGTTGATCTGAATTCTGATGGACTTTCAGACCTCCTGGTGGGAGCACCCATGTTCTCTGAGATTCGGGATGAAGGTCAAGTCACTGTCTTCCTCAGCAGAGGAAATGTAAGTATATGAATGAACCCAGCTAACAGCTTGTAGAAGTCTTTGTAATACTGATCCCAATTGTACTGTATTATGTGAATTTGGTTTTAGGAATTAAGCAAATGTGGGATTGCAGTTTTCCAATTTCAGTTTTAATAAAACGAGATGCATGTGTTTTTATTATCTCTTAGAATATTATAAAGTCTGTTTGAATTCCTTCTTGTGCAAGAGTGGACAAATCTGTTATAACACAAACGAGAGAATACTGGGATGTCTCTGATTTATTATGGAAACATGTTTCACAGAAAAGTTTCATTTCTCAGATCTACAGCCTAGATTATTCTTATTTTTAATACTTTTGACCCTTTATTACTACACTTTTCATAAAAAAAAAAAAAACCCCAAGCAGTTTCTAAAACGCCATAAACCTGTATGGAAAAGCAAAGCAATATATTCTGTCTTCATGAAAGTATCCTTAAAAAGCACTGAAAAGTTTAGAACACGCTGAAAAACAAAGATGGAGCCAAGCAGACTTACTGTGAGAGGAAATAATAAGAAGGTTTTTAGAGGTCTTGTGTGTGTGTGTGTGTGTGTGTGTGTGTGTATGTGTGTACTATATATACACACAAACACATATATATGCAGAGAAAGAGAGAAAGAGAGAAAGAAAGTCTCTGAAGGCTTTCAGTTTCTGCGTAGTCCAGTTTCATTCTTGTTATCAAGGATTCTGATGTTTGAACTGGGACATGAGGTTTAGAACAAATGAAGGAACCCATCATGAAGATTGTGCATTAGAAGATATGTAGCAAAATATAGCAAATTACAGAGTTAGGAACTGAGCCAGTGTTATGTAGAAGCCTAGATTTGTCTTGGCCAGATGAGCAAAGTCAGTTCTTTGTTGTACTTCAGCCTTTCCAGGTGAATTTATTAATTCCAGAAACTTTGGATCACATACTTCAGATCTACAGTTGTATATATACATGGCCTTAGTAGGCCTAGACTTTCATTGCAGCCAGTATTTGCTATGATTAAGAAAGCTGTAGAAAGTATATCTGACCAGCTGCAGAGTTAATAAGTATTGGTATTGGTAGCCTATTAGTAACTTGTTTGTTTTGCCATTCATAGGAAGTAAGTCATTCAGAGATAGATGGATGAGATCAAAGAAATTATTAAGATGTATCTGGGAGAATTGCAAGTTATTAAGATGCATTGTGATAGCAAATATTTGACTTGAGAGTATATAAGTTAAGCTTGTATGGCATTTGATTCCAAAATTGATACAAAATATGCTCCCGAAAACCAGAATTTATAACTATTTTGCTGTTCATATTTTGGCTTGTATTATGTGCTAACATGCCAGTACTGTTCATATAGGGAGTTATTTTCAAGATATGCTCAGCAGGATCATTCCACTTAATGACTCTGATTCAGTACTTTTCTTTTTGTTTAAATATGGCAACTTTATGACCAGCCATAGTATTCCTTGGGAGACTGAATTAGTACTGTTTTATCTTCATGCCAAATTTTAAGAAGTGAACCCCTGTGAAAAGAGACGACAGGAAATGGCTTTTATTTTGACTCTGCTGAAACACCCTTCTCCCCAACAGTTAGTTCTCAGGAGAAGATTTTTCATTTCAAATGAGTACATTGCACAACTGTGTGGCCCAGAGGTTGCCTAGGGAAATAATCAACATCAGTTTCCTGTCGTCTGAGATGACCACAGATTGTTTGGAAGAAGGATGAGCCATATGGGCTTTCTCAGAGATGCTTCTGTTTGCAAAAAAAGTCTTCCATCCCAAATAAATGCTTTCTGTGCTTTGGTTTTAAAACAAATGGGTCATAAGTCATGACATTTGGGGTCATTTGAGGTCAGATGGGCACAGTAGCTTGCCATAAGCTTGAATCTTGCCTGGAAAGTTTCCTGCTATCATGCTAATCCTTCTTTTCACTAGACTAGCCATATCCAATTCCTGTAACCATTCTTCATATGTTTTAGTCTCTAGGCCCTGAATCATCTTAGTTGCTCTTCTCTGCATTCTTTTCAAAGTCTCAATATTTTTTTTATAATGTGGCGACAAAAACTGGATGTAGTATTCCAGGTGTGGTCTTACTAAGATTTTATAAAGCAGTACTAAAACTTCACATGACCTTGATTCTATCCCTCTGTTTATGCAACCAAAGACTGCATTGGCTTTGTTGGCTGTTGCTGTACACTGCTGGCTCATATTTAAGTGATTGTCCACTAGGATTCCAAGATTCCTCTCACAGTTCTGCTTTTGAGCCAGGTTTTACCTAATCTGTACCTGTACTTTTGTTTTTTCTTATCTAAGTGTAAACCTTACTTTTCTCTATGTTAAATTTCATTTTGTTGGGTAGGGCCCAATGTTCAAGTTTGTCAAAATCCATCTGGATCTTGAGCCTATCATTGAGTTTCAAGCTGGGCCTTCAGTATGGAATGTTATAGAGATACATCCAGACATAGTTTAGATTGCAGAATTATTTGTCTCCAGTTAGTTATATTATCTGAGCTTTAGTATCTCATTTATAAATTAAGCTCTATCTTGATTATTGATTAATGGATTTTGCTCTTTCCTATGATAGTTCTAAGTGGAACCATTCTCTTAATAATGTCACAAAGGCCATTAGCCTGCTAATAGATGTTTTGCTCAAATTTCATAGCTAGGCCAACACTTGAACTCAATCTCCTAATTAATTGTGAGGGAACTGTCTAGAATCTAAAAACAATATAACAAGCATGCAATGAAAGTATTAACTCTTGAAATCAATAAGTCTCGAAAACAAAGAGCATTAAAGCATATATTAACTGTGGACTACCCTGGGAACAATTAACTCTTTGCATTAGAAAGTAAGCATTAAATTTATCACTACCTTTTTTAAAACATAATTTAAAGGAATTATTTTAGTGAGGTTATCTTTATTCCTGACTCTTTTGCAACTAATGGTAAAGTCTGAAGGAGGATTCTGTGTAGGCTTTGGTGAGAATGTTTAACATCCTATCCCTGAATGAGAACTCTGATAGAGCAAGCTTTTTAGTTCTGAAGAACATGAAGAATATGCATTTATCATTTTCATTTTGATCTAATGCTTCCCTTCTGTGATTATTTCTCCATCTTTTGGAGAAGGTTCCTAGTCAGTGCTGGGAATGCATTTGGAGAGTGCCAGGCAAAGTTGTTTGATCAAATCACAGATTACATGTTGATCCTGTAGCCACCAAAGAACATACCCCCTCTCTCTCCCCCTCTCCGAAACAGTATTTGGTGAAAGAAAATGTCAACTTGGGGGAGTTTTCATTTCTATGTTTTAAACCAAATAAGACCAAAATAGTGGTTGAAATAGTGTGTTTGGCACACTGCACCTCTTCAGGGTTAAGTCTTGAAAAAACAATAAAGATTGAAAAATCCTCCCTGAGGAACTTCACTTCATTCCCATCATACTTTGCCTCCCACAACTCCTTGGAGTCCTAATTTTTTTGAAAATTGATTTTGAAACCGATTCCCGGAGGAAAGCACTTATATAATTATGGGCAACTATGTCCAAGTCAAAGAATCAGCCAATGTTGCACCATCTACATCAGAGGTCACCAACCTTTTGGGCACCAGGGACTGGTTCCGTGCAGAGAGGTTTTTCTGCAGACTGGAAGGTGCGTGGTTTTGTGTGCTACCTGCATCTTGCGGATTAGGCTTTGCTTGTTTGTGTGGCCCGGTTGTTGGCATGCTGTAGCCTGGTACTGGTCCACGGACCGGGGGTTGGGGACCCCTGATCTACATGCAGGTTGCAAAACAAGCAATGTGACATGTATGACTCTGTAGTAGACAATTTCAGGCACTATTACATCACAATAGACTTCTCCAAGTTGAATGCAGGTCTGAATTGTCTTCCTCCCTCCTGTTTCCTGACACTTGCTCCTTGTTACTTTTCACTGGAAGCCTATGTGAACTTTTCTTTCCTAGTACATGACAATAATAGGAAATCTGAAAATGCCAGGCGCTCCAGAGGGATTCCCAGGGCCTTCAGAATGTCTGGGTACCATATTAGAGAGAGTGGGGGTGGATGTCAATTCCCACAAAAAATTTCAAAGAGGCCTCTTTTCCTGCTGGTATTTGGGAAATTTATAGGTAGAGCAAGTCCTGTAGGTTCTCAGTGGGACTGGGGGAATTACAAGATTGGATATATTTAATATTTAAGCCCATTGTTATACCTGATGACAGGATTTTTCAGATTTAGAATGGGACAGCTATTTACTAACTTAATTTTCTATGCTCAGTTCCAGATTGAAACCAGGGGAATTTGCCCATCACAAGTGGCACCTATACTACAAGTTAGAGACTGTAGTGAAACATGCTTTAACCATGATAGAAGTTCAGATTAAGTGCATGGTTTGGAAAATATAGATTAGTGGAACACGCTTCCAAAAACTATGTATTGCATTTATTATATATAGAATCCTAGAACTGAAGGGGATTACAAAGGTCATTTGGTTCAACCCCTGTTTTTAAGGGAAATTTACAACTACCAGTAGTTGGCCTTCCAGACTACTTCCCCTGGCAAATTATAAATTTCATGCTACTGTTCAGTCAAAATCTCTCTTCTGTTATTTGAATCAACTGGATTATTTCTTGGGCTTTGTGTTTTGCTTGTTCTTTGTGATGCTAAGTATTTTGGCATTTTGCATCTGAGGCTTTGCCAAAGATACAATATTGTTTATATTCTATGTATGGATCTGCCAGTTGGTGTTTACACTTTTTGGTATACTAAAGAGAGCAGTCTATTTTCAAGGCCTTCACAGTTAAAGAAATCCTGATTAACTCTATTCTTATATAGTTGCATACCTATTACTAGTTCATTTTGTTTTCTAATTATTTATGCAGAGATTGCTGCAGTTAATATTACAGAAGAGGTATTCCCTGTTTTCTTATACAGAAGAGGGAATATTTCTTCTAAAACAATCCTATTGTGACATCAGTATGGTTCATTGGTGGATAAAGAAAAAAAAATACACATTTTTTGTGTGTGCTGTTGATGGATCAACATGTTTAATTCAGTTATTTTAACACTAATTGAACTGATTTATCTGTCCCAGTTCCAATGATTATGGGTTAATTTTGCTGAATATCCTGTATTCTAAAATTTCCTTCCAGCTGTTCATTTGAACAGAATAGAAGCTATATACTTCATTAGCTGTTTGGCTTTTTGCTGTAACACATATGGAGGACTTGACATGCATGAGATTTTTTTGTGTTTTGGAGTTTGAGAAATTAGATTTGCCATGTATTGGTCTTTGCAGTGATATCCAGACCAGTGATTCTGTTTTCAGGAACAATTGAGTGCTTTTTAAATTTACACTGATTTCATCTCTATCATATCTGAGTAGTTGCACTGACTGAAGCATATGGTCAGAAGTTCAGGAATCTTACCCCAGATATGTTCCAGGTGTTTCCTGAAGGACATATATATATATGAGATTCTTCCAGCACCAGAGGTCATGCATCTTTCAACACTAGCCTCTATTTTTCTTAGCCTGGCTATTTCCTGTTTGCTAGGGAGTTATGGAAGAGCAACGTGTTCTGAATGGTGATAATGCCTACAACGCACACTTTGGGGAAAGCATCGCATCCCTTGGGGACATTGATGATGATGGATTTCCAGGTCAGTATATTTTCTTTTGCACCGGGCCTTGTTCTTTCTTGCTTTAGCAAGATAAATCTGGTATTTACAGAGTACATATAATAATATTGAACTATCACAATTATATGTATATAATTTGTTGATATAATGAAGAGACAGGTGCACTGGGGTGTATTTTTGGCTTAAGAGTAGTATTGGGTCCTGCTAGATAAATTAAAGGTAGTTTTTTTCTAATGATTAAAATTTCCAGTTGTGATTTTTAAGCAGCTTCACAATGTGTAAATAAATACAATCTGAACTAACTTAAATGATCTAATTGTATGTTGCCTAGACAAAATAAAACAACAAAAACCATACAGTTATAGATTGGCTGTTGAATCCCACACCTCAATTAATTTGCATTATCATAGTGTTTTAAAGACCTGAACATTTTGAAAAGATTTCTCTGTGGTATGGAATTGTATTCTCTGTGCAACTCATAGATTCATCTACAGTTACCTAAGATCTCCCTTGATATTAATAAAGCAAGCCAAGATGGATAAGTATTCTCCTATGCATAATTTGTATTCATAGAACCTAAACACATGTTTTTATTAGGTGAAATACACATCCAAGGGTTTATTTGTTTTTAAATAGCCAGTGCTTATGAAATGAAGTAATATTCTGCAAATTAGATTGCCATTAAGGCAGTTACTCCTATCTTTGTGTTAAAGAAGGTAGCTGTAGCTTCATAACTAAAAAACAATCACTTCTTATGTTGTTTGGCCTTTTGTAGATGTTGCCATTGGTGCTCCTAAAGAAGATGACTATGCAGGAGCAGTATATATTTATCATGGATACATTGGGGGCATCATTCCTCGATATTCCATGGTAAGTACCAAATGTTACAAGAATTTGTAAGAATAGAGCAAAAGTTAGGAAGTAGCCTATTGCTTAAAAGACCAGGTCCACACATGAAGGTTCGATTTAACTGAGTTATTGCTAAAAGCCTATGCACAGGAATATTCTCAAGGAATGGTCAGAACCTGCTCAGAGTTAGATAAGTGTCATCAGCAATCAAGGTGGGACGTTGTTCATTTGTGGCTACAATAGTGATTCTCCTCTGATCCCTCTTTTACCCTTTCACTTGGCTTTGCCAGTCTTTCTCCCACAATAAAATGTGAAATAGGGCTTCAAATTATGTACTTGAGGGGCTGTTGTCAATAATTTGCCATCAACATTGAAACCACTTAGTGGTTTGTAATAGTTCCTCCCCTCTTGATACTCCCAACACTAGATAGTCATTGAAAATATTCATCACATGTTTATATAATTTAAGCTGGTATTTCAAGTTTTAATTTCAAGACTTACCGTGGGGGGAAAAATAATGACTTTTCTTTATTATGCAGAAATAAAGTAAAAAAAAAAAAACCATACTCCCAAGGCCAAAATAATCACATTGTTTTTTATTTTAATTTCATCTTAAAATCTCATGCTTTATCTTCAGGTCCTTAGCACCCATCTAGAAAGTGGGAGAGTAATTAATTCAAATCCTGCCTTAGTATGAAAGTCAGCTGGGTGACTTAGAGCCAATCGCTCTTTCTCAATCCAACCCACCGCACAGGCTTGTTGTTGTGGGGACAATTGGAGGAGGAAGGTGTGTTATATATGTTTGCCACCTTGAGTTATTTGTAAAAAATAATGAAGGTGGGTTATAAATAATTAAAAATAAATAACATGCCATAACAAGATTTTGTAGGTTACAATAAGGAAACAACAGCTTAATTTAATATCTATTCCATTATTATTTTTCAATGAGTCTCTTTCTAAAATGTTTTCCTGTTGACTTCATCTTAGATTCTTGGCTGTAATAGTGGAAGTCAAAAGTCAATTCTCCTTCTTTTAATAAATATGTGTTACTAGATCATATCATGAGCCTTTTGCCCCAAGCTGGTTTGTGTTACATTTTTTCTTTAGAAAGGGCTTATGGAAAAAAAGTATTTTTTTTTATCCTTCAGCTGTTTAAAGTACTGATCTAAATATTTTTCTTTGTTGCTGGGTGGGGGTTTATGAGGGATGCTAAGTCAGAGTTTAGTGATTGCCTCTGAGATCATTTGAGAAATCTGTAGATGATTAGTTCTGCTGTTTGCTGACTGTTTTAGAATGCATTAACTCTCCTTTGAAACACAATAACATATGCTAAATCCCTTTTTATGATCGTTTGTGAAAGTGATAATTTGTGATGCATGGACAATTATTTATGTCCATAGGGAGGAGAGTGGGAACATCAGAACTGATTCAGATGCATACCGTTAGCTTGGTTGGGGATATCTGAATATCTGCCCCCCCCACGCACATATGAGACAATATTGGAGTTTATACAAAGGGACATTAATATTGGCATAGTTAAAATAACTGCTGAATCTTTTGGATTTTTAGGAAAAGTTCTTCTCCATAATTTCCTATTTTTGTCTTTGATCTCATTCTTTTTCTTTCTCTCTTTTTTGCTTCAGGCTTCTAATGGTTGTATTATATTGCTTTGCCATGTTCACATAGACCAGGGCTGTAGGTCAGCCATTTATTTGCCTCACAAATCCATCAAACACTTTCAGATGTTTAATTTGTAACATCTGCCTACCTGGCCTCTATTTGAACCAGTAAACTTAGGGTAAAGGGCTTTGGGCCTGGTTTCTGAACCATCCAGATGCTGTGGATTTTGTAAAACATTCTCATTCTCTCTTTCTTTCTCTCTCTCTTTCCCTCTCTCTTTCCCTCTCCCTCTTTCTCTTACACACATAATACACAACTGTTTGATGAGAGGGCATTTAGTTATAGATGCTGTGATAAAATTTTAGAACCGTCTGATACAGAAAAATACTGGCATACCTGAAGTACCTTAAGAAGTTGGCAAATAATTGTCTCTATTAAATAAATACTATCAAGCTGAGTTTTGCAGCCCTTGCTTTCATTTACAGCTCTCCAAACTGTGTAGAATTATTCTCCAACTTTTATATCCTAATAGCCTGCAGATGTCTGTGGGATATGTATTGTATAGCTCTGTATTTACCACCCTAACGGGGACCCCCCGCAAAATCCAAGCCACATTCTCTTGTGTAAATGTAATTTGAGGAGTCCAGCTGCTTTCTTTTGCCTTCATTTCCAAAAGTGGCAACATTTTCTTTATAACCTTTTTTTTGAAACAGAAGATTTAAAAGCTCCTTCTCCCTCTTTTATATATGCAGTTTTTCCTCATTTCTCCCATCTGACAATGGGACAGGGCTATTTTTATTTAGAATTCCATTTTGCCCGTAGAAAATGGTTAAACTAAAATAAAAATGCAGAATGTTGCATTCCCATCTCTTACGAAGAAATACCAATCTCCTATAGAATGGACAATGTTCTCCAATAAGGTTTCTTAGTTAAACATTGAATTTGTTCTGTGGATGAGCAGAGGCTCATTACACCTGATGAACATCTGCATTGCAAATTTTGGATCAACAGGAGTCAGAGACATAATGACTTCCTTGCAAAGATAGTTCCTGCATGTTTAAATTTAAAGATATATTAATTGTCCTTATTTGTTCCAACCCTGTAGCAAGGCACTACTACTATTTTTTCAGCATAACAGTAGCCTGTATAATCTAACAAGCCCATTAATTGTAATATTATAGATGTAATGATGAACTGTGAATCATCTCCATTGGACAAGTAGGGAAGAAGAGTCAACAATTTGTTCAATGGAATATGCCCTCATCTTTTTCTGATTTAAGCAATATAATAAAGCCAGTATATGTTTTCTCTGAAAGAAAAAAACCCTATTGCTTCTCAAACAGCAGAGGCTTAGTATCAGTACATTAGATCCAGTGATGATGCCTTAATTGAGAGTGGAAAATCTTGCATTTTGACCCCATCGGTCAAGGAATTCTGGTTGGTGGCTCCAGGAGAAGAGGCTTTTTCCCCCATGGCTCCCACTGTTTGGAATATCGTGCCCCTCAAGATGAGATCCATCCTTACCCTCTTGACCGTCTGAAAGAGCCTCAAATCCTATCTGTGGAGATTCTCAATCATCCAGGTCATCTTTGTTCCAAAGGTGCTTTTTCAAAAGACAACTGGATTTTCTTGGTTTTTTTCCTTGAAAATGTTTCACTTCTCATCCATAAAGTGAGAACTGAAGAAACTTCTTGGATAAGAGTGAATTTTTTCAGGGGAAAAAACCAAGAAAGTCCAGTTGCCTTTTGAAAAAGCACTTTTGGGACAGACTGATGGGGGCATCTTCCTAGATGTGGTTAATGGAGAGGTTGTTAATGAAGATCCCAGCTCCACTTTATTTGTATTCTGGTCCCAAACTTAACTTTGTTCATTTTTAATGTTGAATGTTTTAATGTTTTAATATTTTGGCTTTATAATGCTGTAAGCCACCAGAATTGCTTGACACCGAGATGGGTAGCATATAAATTAAATAAATAAAATCTGTATGATAATATTGACATCAGTATATGAGCATATATACATGCCTGCATATATGCTCATACATATATACATCTTTCTCATTTATATAACTTGGAGATAATATATGTTTCACAACCAGTCAGCTCAATTCTATCAAAATGTGATAATTTTGCAGTGAATCTTATCAAATATATAAAACATAAACATTGTGCTTTTGTTTGATTTGATTGATTTCAGTTCTGAATTGTTTGTTGCAGAAAATATCTGGAAGGAAGTTAAGTCCAAGGTTGCAGATGTTTGGCCAGTCCATTTCTGGAGGAATTGATATGGATGGAAATGGTTATCCAGGTAGGCTTTGACAGTTTAATGCAAATAAATTGATAAAATTAATGGAAGGAGTAAAGAGTCAAGGATTCATATGTCCATTGTTTTTGTTAAAATCTGTCTACTTTATATAAAAACATGTTTTCAATGAATTTAAGGCAAAGGGGGTGGGGATTGGTTGGACTATTCTAAGTTTGAAATAGATGCTAGAAATCAAGGAATATAAATGATATGAACTTTTATAAGATAAACAATAATTGTATATTCACAAATCATGAAACTTGGTCTCCTGGGATCAATTCTGAGAAATATAGAAACTATTCATAGTGCAGCTTAGTAACTGGATGGTGAATTAAACTATGATAAACTTAATAACCAAACATTCCTGAACATTCTCCTTATATCAGTATGTAAGATATATTTTCATTACAAAATGCCTGTCTTGACTCATGTCAAGAAAGGAATAAAGGAATAACCAAACATTATTTGATTATTCCTTTATTCCTTTCTTGACATGAGTCAAGACGGGCATTTTGTAATGAAAATATATCTTACATACTGATATAAGGAGAATGTTCAGGAATGTATTGTCCTGGAAAATTATATTTCAGGAGAAGATCCTAAAAACATTGAATTGCTTTTATTCATTTAAATTTGTGGAGGTCAGGAATCATGCTTGTTCTAAATGCTATCAACTTTTTTTCCAGATGTGACAATTGGTGCCTTTGTGTCAAACAATGTAGTTCTTCTAAGGTGAGTGCTATTTATCTTGTTTCTTGTACTGTACTTGCTGTCCCTTGCTTGGCTTTAGAAGAAACAAAATTCTCGTAAGCGCTGTATCCCTAATTACATTTTCAAACTGAATTCCAAATTGAATTGAATAAATTTGTTACTGCTTGCATAAACAATGGAGCTGATAGAAGTGATTGTTTGTTAATACTTTTACTCTCAAACAGGTTAGGCAGTGGTACTGGTATATCATAGTATGCAAACAACTGTAGCTCAGGGTACATTGCTTGTTCATATACTTCTAGACCAAGGGTGTCAAACTGCCAGCCCGCGGGCCGGACGCGTCACCAGGAAACTGCACTCACCTCATTGCCAGCAATGGGAAAAAAGCTCCGATACTTCACATGACATCACGTGATGTCGCAAGTTTGATATGTCTGTTCTAGACCCACAACATCTAGTATTCCCAATAAGAGGCACTGTACATCTATTGCCTGTCTGTCCATCCCTCTCTCTATCTCTTTCCTTTTAATGGATTTTCAGTGAGAAGAAAAAGAGAAAAAGCAATGGTAGGAAAATACTGGAAGTTTACTAAGCTGAGGGTGACATCATCTGGCTCCCCCTTAAATTTTCTGAATAAGGCAGTAGGCTTGTACAAGAAAATTCTCATCTGGAAGTTTGTATTTGGTTCCTGTAAGACAGGCTTTTCATGACTTAATATTCCATCATAATGCTTTCAAATGATACACAAGGTCCCATATACAGTAAAATCCTGCTTATTTACAGCTTGTAAACAGCTCTGGTAGTAGTGCATAAGAAGTATTGAAGAAATATGAACAAATAAGATTATTTCTGTTAAGGCAGGGGTCGCCAACCTTTCTGGGTTGGCAGCCCACTGGGAAAGGGAGGGACAGGCACCTTTATGTGCGCACACAGAAATGTGGCTGCATGTACATGTGTGTGAACGGGGCCATGAGCATGCGCGCTCCGCAAATGGGGCTGCTAGCGCCAGTGCGCGGTTCTAGCGCCAGCTTGCAGGTCGCGGGTCAGCTAGCACCAGTGCGAGATTCGCAGCTTGGCTAGCGCCGATGCAAGAACGGGGTGAGCGAGCACACATGCGTGCATGCAGTGGCCAGCCACTCCTGCGGCCCGGTAGTGGGCCCGGCCCATAGGTTGGGAACCTCTATATTAAGGCATTCTTTAAAGCAACTCATCAATTTTGTCTAGTTAAATAGATGGTTTGAGATTGCAGAATTAGGAAAGGCAGCAGTTATGTTTTTTCTAAAACAACAAAAAAACCATCTGTATCCAGTGAGGCAGATTTTAAGAGAAGTTGTATGCAGATTATCTGATTAGAGGAAACAGCTGTAGTAACATGGCCAGAAAATAATCAAAGTAGGTTGATAGTGAATGCTGGGGAAAAAAATGAAGTGACATTTTTTTCCTTCGATATGTCCAATCTCCACTGACTGTCATGTTTGAACTGATCGATAGAAAATTGCTATTATCTTGATCTGTTTGAACATTTTTAGACATGGTTTCTTATTTTTGACACTTTTCTACAACAAGCAATTTCATAAATTTGGTCCTATATTTATATGAACAATGGTGCTTAAAATTTTTTGAACTTGTTTCAATTAAAAATTTCTGCATAAATATCAATTAAAACATGATCTGTTCTCCACACAAGTTCTAAAATTAAATAAAGAGAGCCCAATTGAACAAGCGAGTCAAAAACATTAAATTTGTTTTGTAGAAGTTACCACAGACTCTGGATTTGTTTTTTTCTTAAATGAGGGTTTGATTTCCACATGATGGGAAACTTATATTTCCCTAAAATAAATAAGGAGGCATCCGTTTTCTGATCTTTCCTCTCCCAAGAGAGTAAAGCTTAGGTAAATAGAAAAAGAATTTACTTTATAGATTAAGTTTAAGATGGTAAAACCTGAATAATGAGGTATATGTCATTCTAATTGCTCATTAAATATGAACATGCACTACTTATGTCAATTTGTGTCATTTTTATAATAATGTAAAATACTGTGGATTTCACAATATTAAGATAAAATTAATATGAATATAATTATTTTGTAGGGATGTAACAAACTTATCTGCAGTGGATATAAAAAGTCTACACACCCCTTTTATGATGCCAGGTTTTTGAGATGTAAAATAATCAGACCAAGATAAATCACTTCAGATTTTTTTCCACTTTAATATAACATATAAGCTGTAGAATTCAGTTGAAAAACAAACTGAACTCTTTAAGAGGAAAAATTATAATAACTTGTTTGTATAAGTGTGCACATCCTTAAACTAATACTTTGTTGAAACACCTTTTGATTTTATGACAACATTCAGTCCCTCTTGCCTTGGGAAAGTTTGCCCACTCTTCTTTGCAAAAGTGCTCCACATCTCTGTGATTATGAGAACATCTCCTGTGCACTGCCTTCTTCAGGTCACCCCACAAATTTTCAATTGGATTCAGGTCTGGGCTCTGGCTGGGCCATTCCAAAACTTTGATCTTCTTCTGGTGAAGCCATTCTTTTGTTCTTTTGGAGGTATGTTTGAGTTGTTGTGTTGAAAGGTGAAATTCCTCTTCCCCTGCAGCATTTTAGCAGAGTCTTGAAGGTTTTGTGCCAAAATTGACTAATATTTGGAACTGTTCATAATTCCTTCCACTTTGACCAATGTACCAGTTCTAGCTGAAGAAAAGCAGCCCCAAAGCATAATGCTCTCACCACCATGCTTCACTGTGGGTATGGTTTTCTTTTGGTGATGTACATTGTTGTTTTTGTCCAAACATACTTTTTGGAATTATGGCCAAAAAGATCAATCTTAGTTTCATCAAACAATAACATATTTATCCACATGTTTTTATCAAATTTGGTGTATGTTTTGAAAAATATAGCTGGACTTGGATGTTTTCCTTTGTAAGAAAAACCTTCCATTTTGCCACCCTATCCCACAGCCCAGACATATGAAGAACATGGGAGATTGTTGTCACATGTAGTATACATCCAGTACTTGCCAGAAATTCCTTCGGTTCCTTTAATGTTGCTGTGGGTCTCTTGGCAGCTCTCCAACCAATTTTTTTCTTGTTTTTTTCATCAATTTTGGAGGGACATCCAGTTCTTCATATTGTCACTTGTGCCATAATTTCTCCACTTATTCATGACTGTCTTCACTATATTTCATGGTATATCCAATGACTTGGAAAGTTTTTTGTACCCTTCTTCTGACTGACAACCTTCAATAATTTTAAATCATTGCTCCACTTTAGCAATGATTCTTAAAGTGTAGCATATTTCAATGTTAAGCTTTCATTATAATCAAGCATGGAGGAAATAGGTAATCATGATTTGAATCTGAAAAATACTATAAAAGATGGTTATTGCGTTATGAATTGGCTATTAATATATATTTCCTAGAGAGCTATATGAAAAATACACTATATCTTTCCATTTTTTTCCAAAATGAGCTAACTGGTCTTTTTGGAAATTGCTGAATTTCATAGTTTTTCTTGGTGTTGTTTAAATATAGTTTGATATAATAGGTGCATTCACATATTATATTCACTGTATCTCAAACCATGTAAAACACAGTGAATGAAGTCTCATACTTCAAGTCAAAATGGAACCTTATTAAGACATAATGTGATGTAGCTTAGTTATAAATATCAGAGAAACAGTGAGATGTAGTGGTGAAGATGTTGGACCATGAGTAAGAAATCTAAATTTAAGTTCACCTCAGCCATGAAAGCTCAAAGGATAATTGGGGGAGGTCAGCCTCTCACAGATCAACCCACTTTATGAATTTATTTTTGTGGGAGGAGGAGAGAACGGACTGCCATGTACACTCAGCAGGATATCCTGAATGAAAGGCAGGATATAAATCTAATAAATAAATCCGCATTGACATATTCTTTAAACTTCTTCAGGCCACAGGGTTGCATTTACATGGGCACCTGATTTCTTCTAACAAAGAGAAGATGGAGCTAAAGAGAATCAACAAAAAATTCCTCTCCTTTTTATGAGATAAAATCTTTAAATCAACAATTGTGATGAAAATTCTTTACACAGTTTTATAAATAATAGTGCCCTGATAATAGTGGCCACCTAAATCAGCATATCAGCCTTCACTGCTTTAAGCAAAATGTTTAATGGGGTAACAAATTCAGTCTGTTCCATCTTCTTCATATAACAATACAAGCAAAAAGTTGACTTGAACTGAAAATAATATTAATTTATAAATGATTTAGTGGCCTATTCATTCAGGGCACTATTATTTGTAAAACTGTAAAGAATTTTCATCACAATCTAAAGATTCTGTCTTATAGAATCTTTCAAGGCCACCTGATTATGGCCTTGAAAAACGGATAGTTCTCTTTTATTTTGTCCTGTATTTTGATGCCTCATGTCTCTTACCCTTTTGGTTTGTAAGCTTATTATATCTCACTGTTTTTTTAAAAAAAGTTTGAAGGCAAGATAGAAAAATACAAAAATATAAATATCACAATGAATGTTACTGGAGGTTTGTATAGGAGTGTGTGTGCGTGTGTTTTGCTATTCTAACCTAACTTGGCATGGAGAAAGAGATGAATATATATATAATTCAGGAAGCAACTGTATCCTGTTACAGATGGACAGATATTTAAGGTGTTGAGTGGAAATTTGGGTGGATTGACTGGAACCATGAGGAAGGAAAGGAGAGGCTGCAGGAGATAATACCCAGAAACTGGGATGCCAGAACAGGTGTTGATTTGCTGAGAAGCAAGCAATAAGTCCTGAAGTTGGAGTCATGGGTTAGATGGATATCCCTGTGCCAGCTGGATGTACTGTATTTCTTTTAGAATCTGTTTGTATTGTTGATTAATAATTTTTGTAATTGACTTTAAAATAATTTTGCAGAAATATGCATTTTGCTTTTACTATTTTTTTCTGTTTGTTGCACTTGTTCAGGTGGTTCCTAATCCCAGGTCTTTTCCATGAAATATGCTGATCCAATCCTGCATTTAAAAAAAAAAAAGGAATTCGATTTCAACTCTCTCACAATCACTTCATGAAGCAAATCTGAGACCATGTTTGGTTATGTTTCCTTAAAAGGCATACTACAGGAAACAGTTCTTAGAGCACACTATAGATTTTAAAGAAGCAACTGACTATTACTAATTGTAGAAATCATGTACTTGTGATTTTATGTTCATACTTATATACATGATATTTTTCTTAAAATGTAGTGAATGTTCAGCTGATTACATATAGGTGAGTTACAACTGTAATGGAGTCTATCCATTATGGCTGGAAGATATGACAAATGTTAAATGAACTGGATTCTAAAGGGAGTCAGACAGCAAAGAGTTTGGAAAGGTTTCTGCTGCCTGTTTGGCTGCCAAGAGACATGGGGAGGAGGCCCAAGCACAGGGCGGGAAGGGATGGGGAGAGAGGTGGGGTGTGCTGCAGTGACCCCATGGTTAGGTTATAAGGGGCCCCTGCAACCATTGTAGTTTTGGGACATATGTAGAACTTCAAATGTTCGTTAAGTGCTCCGTCATACCTCAAGGACTACCTGTAATGTGAAACTCATTGTATCGCTTCATATGGAAAAAGGACTCACTGTTCAATTTCTGAATTTAATATGAAAATAACCATCTGATTCCAATTAAGAAAAGCAGCAGTGAAAAAGCCTACAACAGTTCCTAGATAGCAAAAAGGGAAATGCATTTTTCTCTCAAAATACTGCTAGTGGTATTACTACATGGCGTAGTAAAACAATTATAGTGAAACATTGAGATAATATTTCATTTCAAAAAAGTAAAGGAGTTTTGAAAAAGAATAATTGCTTAAACTTTGCCAAAATGGAGTGTCATTTTACTAAATTTAGGAAAATTATATACTGGAAGTTTGACAGTAAATATATAGTGTTCTAAAAAATGAACTTTTACTATGGCAGAAATGTGGAAAATGACATTTAAAAGAATAACTGTTTAAATTTTATATATTTGTTAATAGTATAATCAATTAGACCATGGACAGCTCTATGCTGCTGATAAGTTGCTTTGTATATTGTAGGTATAATATTGAGGTAACATTGATATTTTAACTATATTTTAATACCTTTATAAAATAATTTAATATTTCCAGGTCTCACTTCTCGGTGGAAAATGTATGTCAATTCTGAAAGTAAATTGCTTGGAGTCTGTTAGGAAGTTATTTTTTTAAATGTCAATTAATGGCATCTTGAGTGTGGACAACTTGTGAGATGTTTCCCACAGGACTCAGATTGCCTGCTGAAAGTATCTGAGCTAGTTCTCTCTTAAGTTATTTTAAATGTTGATGCCTTTTCTTTCTGCTTGACAACCAGCATATAAAAAGACTGAAAAACTTAATGGGTTGAATTCAGCTTAAGTATAATCAGAGGACGCACAGTAAGTCCTATCAAAATTTCAATGGATTTTCTATGAGTACAGCTATGTCCAAAACCAACTTTTTTTTTAAGGCAATGAGAAATAACATGATATAGTGATTCTTTTTCCAATAGGTTTATATGATTGGATTTTCCAGTCATGGAGTACAGTTTATATCTTTAGATGTAGCTGTCTTGTCTCTCGTATCCTCTCTTACAACTGTTGCACATAATTAACAGAATAAAACAGAGTTGGAAGGGACCTTAAGCCTTCTAGTCCAACCTCCTGCTCAAGCAGGAAACCCTATAACATTTCAGACAAATGATTGTCTAATCTCTTGTTAAAAACTTCCAGTATTGGAGCACCCACAACTTCTGGAGGCAGGTCGTCCCACTGATTATTTTTACCGTCAGGAAATTTTTCTTTAGTTCTAGGTTGATTTTCTCTTTGATTAGTTTTCATCCATTGCTTCTTATTCTGTCTTCAGGTGCTTTGGGAAATAGGTTGACCTCTTCTTCTTTGTGGCAGCCCCTTAGATATTGGAATACTGCTATCATGATACCTCTAGTCCTTCTTTTCATTAGTCTAGATATACATAATTCCTGTAATGTTCTTCATATGTTTTAGTCTAATTGAATTATTTGGGCTTCTACATCTAGTTTTTGTTTGGATAGCATGTTTTCATATGGGTATTTTTTTCATTTGTCCTATAATTATTGTCATAAAAATATATGTGGTGGCTCAACAGTTAAGATGCTGGGCTTTTCAGTTGGAAAGCCAGCAGTCCAGGTTTGAGACCCAAATGCCATGCAATGGGATGAACTCCCATCCTTGCCCAGCTCCTGCCAATCTAGCAGTTCAAAAACATGCAAATGTGAGTAGATAAATAAGTACCACTTTGGTGTGAAGGTAACAGTGGTCTAAGATGTCATGCTGGCCACATGACCCAGAAATATCTTTGGACAGCACTGGCTCAATGGCCTTGAAATGGAGATGAGCACCACTCCCTATAGTCGGCAACAACTAGTGGAGTAAAATTTGCAAGGACTCCTTTGCCTTTACCTTTTACCTATAATTATTAATTATCTAATAGACAAGGTTATTGCATTATTTCAATTTTTTAATTCTAGTAATGCATCTTAATGATAGTGGTGTATCCAAAGTCCTGTCCTGTCCTCCCCTCCCCTTCTCTCTCCCCCTCTTTCTTTTTTAATTATTATATGACAGTATTTGTTTTGGAGCTGGAATAATTGAGGAATAACTGATTATTTCCAGGACTAGTATTAAAGCTGATATCCTAAGCAAGCTTAACTAAGAGTTCCCTTAAGTTAATTAAATAAGAGCTATTTTGGCCTAAACTTAAAAAGATCTATAGAAGTATGGAAAATAATGTAGTGTCTCTTTTTTCTTATTGTTTTAAGATCACGGCCTGTCATTACGTTGGACATTTCAATTTTCCTGCCAGCGTCCATTGACATCACAGCTCCTCAGTGCCATGATGACTTACAACAAGTGAATTGTCTAAATGTCACTGCCTGCTTTAGGTTCAAAGGCAGACATGTTCCAGGACTGATAGGTGAGCTACTGTCTTGATATCTGTTGCTTTTTATCAATTCTAAAACAATATTCCTATGCTAGGAAGAAGAATACATTATGGTCAGTAACCAGTTAATTAAATATACTATAGTTAATTCAGGAAGAGGAGCAAATTCTTGCCTTCATGCCTGATTTATTTGATAACTCATCTGTACGTTATGAATGTTTAAGCAGTGGGGTCTGAGCTTTTTGGAAACTTTCACCAAGTTATTAATTTACTATTAATTTACTCAGAGTATTGTGGTAAAAATGATGCCCATACCACAAGCCCATTTACATTTACAAAATAATAGTATTTTGTCATAGTTTCCTTATAAGATAGCTGATGAGAGAGCATCAAATCTTGCTAGCTCTGAAGTATGCAGTACTTAAGAGAATTAGCAAATAACTTTGTCATTTTAAGTACCTGAACTAGAATTCTGTGCTTATCTATACAGATCAGGCACTTTTTGATTATCACATTTTTCCTTTGAAATCTCAGTATTAAGTGAAAACAATGGATCAATATCAGTATCAGTGAACCTCAGTTTCCCTTTAAGGCTTGTTTTTATGAAGAATCAAATCTGTTTGAAAACCCTAAAGAAACAACCCCAACATACCTATGAGAAGAACTAAGGGGCATATCTATAGAATTTACCCCAAACTATCATTTGACTGGAAATCCCGTCAGATAGAAGAACCATTCTACATTCTATATGTGGTGGACTTGCAGAAAACCCCCAAAGAATTGTTAAGATATACATAGCACTATTCAGAAAATCTTAAGACATCAAAATTGAAAGGAATTGCACCTAGTTAAATTAGATATATTTCCAAATCATATCAGTAAAAAATACCATTATTTATTAAGTATGCATATAGCCACAAGGACAAAGTTTGCACATTGCACATATGCATAACAGAAATTTAATTAAATTTGAGCAGGAATGGCTTCCATATACAGGTAGTCCCAAGTCAACAAAGATAATTGTCACTGGGTACTCTGTCACTAGGCAGTGCAATTACAAAGTGGAAAATCATGTGATTGCCTACAGTGGAATGTGAGAATGACCTTGGAAGGCAGAAGGAAGAGATACTGCCTAGGGAAAGATCAGATAGAAGAGGGAGGAGCCAGTAACTGAGTAACAAGCAGAGAAAGAAACTTAGAAAGGACCCGCCCTAACTTATTAGGTGGTAAAAAGAGACAGGAGGGATTTATACTTTCGGACTTGTAAATTTCTGTTAATGTAGCCTTGTAATAAAGTAGAATTAGCTCATCTTGTGTTTTTTGTCCGGATTACTTAGACTGACATTGTGTTGACTTATGGCTGCAGTTCTAACAGTTCCAGTCAGAACTGCAGTCATTAAGTGAATCCCATGTAGCATTTAAGCAAGATGACACCTGACTGCCTCTTGTGGCCTCTTGCCAGCTTTTCCACTGACTTTGTCAGAAGCCGGCAGTGAATGATACAAATGGCAATGAAATGACTGTGATTGTTATAATTTTGCATCAGTTGCTAACCTCCCAAATCATGGCCCCATGACCACAGGTATGCTCTGATGGCTGCAGCTTCAAAGACATGTCATATGTTCCCTTGCATTAATTTCAAGCAGTTACTGAATGAGTGAAATCTAAATAAGGACTACTTTTATATTATATATTATTACACACTAAGATAAATACAAATAGAATCTGGTTTCTGAAGTTTATGCCAATACTACTGCAAATCAGTTGCAATACAAAGAAGGAGAAGTTGGGAATCAAACATTTATATTTTATTTAAGGGTGTTTCTTTTTCACCTTTTATAATTAATGATATAGTAGAGATTTTGAGATTATACTCCAAAAATATACTTTTTATATCATGAAAGAAATTCAATATACTCTATTGGATTCTTTTATTAATGTAATATTGAGCATTAGTTGTGTAACTTCAATAGTTATCCCTCCATTTATAGATATTACCTTTTTTGAAAATATATCTGATTTAAATAACAATATTAAAAAATAGATATGGAGTTTTCATAAGGTCCTGGTTGTACCTGTCTTCCCATATTATTCATTCAGATAAAAGATGACTAATAGGACAGTGACATTGTAGGATCTCTTGGGTTTCCTTACTGAAATGTGGCAAATGACAGCAAGAGAAATCATATTAGTAAACGAATGTCTGTCTGTGAATGGCTCCTAAAGGAAGGGAGGGGAAGAAAGGAAATAAAATTGTTATGGAAGAGGTCACAGAGTGAAATGAACAAATTCATCTGATAGTTATCTTCTGTCATTTAGCAATGCTATATCATGATTAATCATCCTAGGAATAATAATTATTTAATATGTATTGTATACATTTCAAAGTTAGAACATTTTACATCATTTTTTCCAGTATTAATTTTAGCCATCTTGTTTTTTGGTTACATCATGTTGGTGCTGCAGACTGAGACTGAAAGTTTGGTTTATGTATTGATTTGTTTAGTTAATTTATACCTTAGTTTTCTGTTCTAGGGAATATGGTGGTTAACAAAGTTTTTTATAATAGCAGAATGCAACCCCCCCTCCCACATTTTAAAATAAAATACATACTGAAAGAATTCAGTTAATAAATGCCTTATAAAACACAGGCATTTTTATGGGTTTTCTAAATGTTGGAAGTGGTGGCCAAATGCAGGCTCCCGAGAAAGCATATTTGTGGACTGGGAGCAATGCAGGAGAAAAATGGAGTGCTTGTGATGTTTGGAGCATGTTTAAGGAGGCCCCTCATCCTGCAGATTTTAGCAGCTAGGAAGATTCAATTACTCAAGCGTGTCCAATCTTCGGAGACTGCCTAGACTAGTCTTTGTAGTTTTCTTTGCAAAGTTTTTCAGAAGTGGTTTGCCATTGTCTCCTTCCTAGGGCTGAGATATAGTGACTGACCCAAAGTGGGACTAGAATTCAGCATCCTGGTTTCTAGCCTGATGTCTGATCCCAAACTATACTTTGGTTAGCAGTTCATGCTGACTCCAGATTTTCATGCACTTTTCAGAGTAGCCCAACACAGATGAGCTGCAGAAGGTAAGGAAGGATATAGGTAGTGTGCACAATCTCTGTCTAAATGGATTAGCTAAGGAAGGAAAACTAAGTATAATTATGTAAAGATATCTATATATGTCCCTAAGCTACACCTGCAATTTCAGTGTACTGAGGATCAAAGAGTACTTCCAGTATTTGTCCTTTTGGGGGAAATAAGTCCTATAAATATACCTATAAGTCCTATAAATGAAAATTGCATCCAATTTTCAACAGTCTGGTGGCTGTTTGTGTACAAAACAAAGCCATTGCTGCCAGTCTGCAAATGCTAAACCAAACACAAGCAAATAACATTATTGCTTAGTACTGCATATGAATGAGTGAAGTATTTTTGTAGGACCACATTAAAGCAGAAGAGAAACTGGAACCTAATAATTACTGACCTATATTCTAATTTCTTAGTCATTATGCTTTGCTCTCAATTGTTCTAAGCACTACAGTGGACATGAATGAATCAGTAACATTCATTTTTCCATTGAGTTTTCATTAATTGAAATGTTTGGTATGTGTGTGCATAGTTATTCATTTTAACACCTTCATTTTGTTCCTATTTTTCCACAATATAATGGTCTATATTATTTTAATATAGACATTTTTATTTAATATATATTTATTATTTTTATCAATGGGAATTAAATACAAAACAAAAAAAATCAGAAAAAAACATAAAACCAAAGTAAGAATAAAAGAAAAAAAAATTGTGTACCAAAAAAAGGGGGGGGAGAGAAAAAAAATGACCCAAACATCAAATAAATCCAACATGAAACAGAAAAAAATCACCCTAACTGGATGCTGAAAATAAAAATAAAAAACCTGCATATAGTTATAAATTTTCTTATCCTTTTTCAAGACAAATATATTATATTAACAAATATTTCAAATGCATCAACCCAACATGTAATATATAAAAAAAAATGATAGAAAAAAACAAAAAAAAACAACAACAGTCAACAGGTTAGCTCAATACTACACTAGTTTCAAATCCCTCTGTGAAACATCTGTTATGTATTTAACAGGTAGAAAGTCCACAAATGGCTCCCTGTCTCTTATAAAGCTGTCTAGTCCATTATCTCTAATCAAGGCAGTTAATTCCGCCATATCTGCTGATTCAATCAGTTTTAAAATCCATTCTTCAATAGCCGGCATCTCCTTTCTTTCTAGTGCTTAGTAAGTACAATCCTCACAGCGGTCACCGTGTAAAGAAATAGGGTCCCAAATTGTTTTTGCAATTGATTTATCCATAATTCCTAAAAGAAAAGCTTCAGTTTTTATTAATATTTGTATCTTAAGTATTTTCTGCATTATCATAATAATGTTTATCCAGAATGTTTTCACATACTTGCAGGACCACCACACATGATAAAATGTACCTGGATTTTGATTACATTTCTTAGAAGTCCTTCAATACATTTTTGCTAATCTGTCTGGATTAAAATACCAATGATACATCATTTTATAAAAAAATTCTTTCAAACTATAATTCAAAGTAAATTTTAATCCATCAGTCCATACATTCTCCCATTTATCTAGTATTATACCCATTTTTTTTTGCCCATTTTACCACGCAATCTTCTACATATTGGTCTTCCAGGTTCATCTTGAGTAACATTTTATATACATTAGCAATCAAGTGGTCATCTCCAGAACATAAATTGATATCCAATTCAGATTTAACTCTTGTGAAACTAAAACTTTTTTATCCAGTTTAAATCTTCAAAAATTCTATAATAATTAAACCAGTAACAAACAACACCTTCACTTACTAATTGTTCTCTTGTCTTTATCTTAAGTTCTTTTTCAAATAACAAACATTCCAAGTATTGCATTTATATACAAATGCAAATTAAACAAATATATCTATCATTTTTCACTCTGGCTGAAAAATGTTAGTTTTTTGCTGCAACATTTAGAAGTTCAAAATGGCCTTGTTATAATGAGCTTGTTATGGTAAATTATGGTAAGCTACTTGCACAATTGTGTCATTGAAAACTGCATGTTTAGAAGGAAAATTTGGAATGTACAAAGCTTTCTCCTCTTCTTCCATAAACCAGAAAGAATTTGGGATCAATTTTGATAAATGGCTATTTATTTCATGATTTAAAATAGCAATGTCTTTCAATTCTAAGTTATGAAAGGCATATCTCCCTTTAAACTGTCATTTTGTTTTGGTAAATTTAAATTGAGACATGGATTATTATTATTGCTGTGCTAATAAATGGGCCATTGGTAGTGCTCATGCAAATAGTTTGCATTTTTTAAACTGTGATATATGTATCTTTGCTTAGTTAGGTAGCATAGTTTGTAGAGTGCATTACAGATTCCGTGTACTTAATGGAAATATGCTAAAACTTAAATATTGAACTGCCTTCTCATAGTAAAGATTAGCATTTTTTTTATCAAGAAGATGGGCAAACAGCAAACAACTTTATACTTGCTGTAGAAAGGATGTGTTACATTGACCACTCTTTAGACAGAAAAATAAATTTTAACATTTTAATAAAATAAATGTGCTTGCATTTATATGAAAATCAGACTTGGATAGCCTAAACATATGGATGCTTAGTCTCAGATATTCTAATAGGAACAGATCTGACCTAGACCTCCCTGAATAACGTGAGTCAGAATGTAATTCTACATTTTTAGTCATGCATGCCAAAAGCAAAGTGGAGAAAGATGTTTAATATACTACTGAACCTATTCAGAAATGTCAACTATTGCTCAGAAAGAACGTGGCCATGACTACAGAGGAGTGGTTTCGGGATAATTTTCTGTTCTTTTTGAGGGTTAGTGCACATGTTATGACAGTTGCATAGGGATGTTTTGACTTGCTGCATAAGAGGGCTGTGGTCACGATTTTCCAAGTCATTTTGTATATAGCCAGTTGCCTCACACATTGGATGGATTCTGTATGTTTTTTTTGCAAGTGGCCGTGTTTGCATGGTGAACCACAGCACATGTTGACAGCTCACTGCATGATGACCGCTACCATGTGGAGGGAGCTAAATGATATAACCCCCTGTAAAGTGCCTGTAATGCACAATTTATTACTTACGGAGTTGACTGTCATGGTTTGCTTGTCATTTTAGGAGTCCTTTATTTATGCAGTTCTAAAGAGCCAGCAAAATCAGAAGTATATTGTATCAAGGTATTCTGTCCCAGCTGTCCTAGCCAAGGAGCACATCAAATAGGTCATCAAGTATGATATTAATGATAAGAGGAATATAGTCAAATAACATCATTTGTTACAATGATTTTTGGACTAGAGTTTCATTACTATCCAGAGCAAAAGTCATGATAACAGAGGATGTCCCTAATGTCCACAGGACTGTATGTCAAGTGTCATCAAGGAACAATCTAAGGACCAGAAGTCCAAATGAGTGTGTTGAATCAGTCTTGGGTATACAAGAGCAAGATGAAGTGGCAAGAGATGCTGTTTCAAATACTGGAAGCCTTGGTGATGTTGCCTTGTTCTCTGAATGCCACAGGTCTTGATCATTGCATCTCACTCTCATGTGAAGCTGCCTTTTAAGAGCTACAACTACTCCAGAGCATAGCAATTACATTGTTGTAGTTAAGCCCATATATCTATTCTGCAGCAACTGCATTGCTTCGCAGCAAGCTTCCCAGCCATTCAAATTGCTGATTATTATCTATAAAGCCAATGGTGAACACTGAGTTTATTAAGAACCTTCTTACTCAGAAAGATTTTGCATCTCCTGTGAAACCATCTAGCAAGGGCCTGTTAAGGCTCTGTCCTCTTGAAAGGTGACAATAGTATGGGCTAGAAGGCATTGTAGAATGTTCCATGTGTAAAGGTGCATCACACTTTTTTTTGCTGAAAATGCTTCTTTTTTTCCAGTGGATAATGTGAGGGGAAAATGAATAACTTTGAGGAGCAGGAGAAAGAGCTGCAACCAAGGCAATGGCATATAAAAGAAATCTGAGTCTGGGCCAGAACTGTAACTCAGGTAAGCATCTCAAACAAGACCCTCCTAGTTCTAATTAAGATAAAGGGAGGAAGGGTTTTGTTTGAGATATTTAGATTACAGTTCTATCTCAGACTCAGATTTCTTTTATTTATTAATTAATTTTGTTTCCCATCCATCTTGTTGCGAGGTGACATTGGGCAGTTTTTACCTGCTGTAGTTTTGGTTGTGGCTTTTCCATGTAATCCTTAAGGTTATTTCTTCTGCTGATTTCATGGAGGGAAGATACAGTTTTGAGGATGCTTGAATTTTACTTTGTAGCCACCCAGATTTTATCTTGAGTATTCTATTAAAATAGTTTACTAATAAATAATACATTATAAAAATCTGAAGCTGCAGATAGCACAATGGTATGGCAATCAACCTCCAGAAGGGCTTGGAATATGTTTTTGTTTAAGGGGATATATTTATTTGTATAGCCAAATAAGCCTTTAATTCTCATAGTAGTAAATAAAGCAGAATAAACTTAGAAATAAGGACTGGATGAAGGTAACTAAACAAGTGCTTTATGTTGAGAAGAGTTTTGAAATCAGATCCCAGTTAGACACTCCTGTGACACTGCCCTGTAATTCCTATTGTTCAAGTATATAATGATGACCTAATGAAGAGCGTCTCAGCTCCTGTCTCAAACAGTTATATATATGTTATTATTTCACCTGTCAAGTACAGTATCACTCAGGATATTTCTCTACCTTTTCTATATTCTTTCTGCATCTGGTGTCTGACCTCTCCTCTAACCTGAAAGAGCTGAGTTTAAAACTAGTATGTATTAGTTGTTTATATAATAATAATAATAATAATAATAATAATAATAATAATAATAATAATAATAATAATAATAATAATAATAATAATAATAATAATAAAGTTGGAAGGGACCTTGGAGGTCATCGAGTCCAACCCCCTGCCCAGGCAGGAACCCTACACCATTTCGCGCCGAAACCATGCCCACCACATTGCTGGCAATGGGGAAAAAGTCCTGATACATCGCATCGCAAGTTTGACATGCCTGGGCTAGATGATATGAGAACTTGACTAAAATGGGAAAACAAAATGAGACAAAATAGACCAGTGGAACAGTTAATTAAAATACATCTGCATCATCCAGAATGCATTCTGATTATGTTATTTATGTCAGTGGCATGAGAAACTGTTGCTACTGTTACCAGTTGTACAATTTAATTTTATTCTTACTACTGGAACTTTCCTGTCTCCCTTTGTTGGTCATAATGGAACTGTGATAGTGAAGTGCTAGATTTTATATTATTCAATTCAGGTTTTGGGGAACGTAGGGAACCCTAGAAATCTGCTTCATATTAAATGGTGTTCCCTGTATCAGCTTTGCTGATGTGTCTGGAGGTGATAGAATAGAATCAGTGACATTGAGTATTTAAGATTAGTGTGAAAAAAAAGCTAGGTGATGTTTGTTTGTTTAGGCAGTCCTACTAATGGATATAGAGAAATTATAGTCTGTCTGTCTGTCTTTTTGTTGTAGAATGAGCCCGTAGAAGTTAATATTGAGTAAATGGAATATAACTTGCATTTCTCAGTTCTTATGATCTATAGAACCAGGAAACTGAAGCACTAAGGAGGACCTCTTATATGGCTGATTAGCTGCCTTCACAGTTGTGCTAGTTTGCTCTAGAACGTTGGCATTTATCCACATTTGCAAATCTTCTTTCTGAAATTGAGATTTGTTGCTAGAAGGTAGAGGTGAACATAGTGCAGAAGTGACCTACCTCTAAATATATTAAAATACAGTAATCCTAAATCACAATAATGATCGTGAAAAACCTGTGATATGTTAGCAGCGGAAAATAATCTCTTTTTTTTTGCCTAGATTTGAATTATAATTTGACAGCAGATGTGGCAAAGAAAGAAAAAGGATACCCAATCAGGGTTTACTTCATCTCTTCTGGAGAAGCAGCGGGCCAGATCACAGAACAATTGCAGCTCTCCTATATGCAGAAGAAATGCTCAAACTACTTAGCGTTTGTAAAGGTTGGTCCATGTTTGACTCATGTTATATATACTTTTATATTGTCACTTACTCTAAACTAGGCCTGAGATTATCCTTGGATGAAAATGGATGTGGAATGCATTCAGCTTTCTATTTCTGAAACATTAGTAAGGCTAAGGACAAATACCTCTGAATACACGAAAAGGTGTAAGATTGTGTTTTTAAAAATATGGAAGTTTCTGTATGGTTATTTAAAATATTTTACAGGTATAGGGATAAAGGAATGTCTCCACATCAGGTATTCTTGTGATAAGAAAGAAAAAAGTTTGTCTCTACCCTGGAAATGTAGAATGTAGATGAACTAAAAGAAGCCCAAAAGATTTTGGATTCTCTCAAAAGGCTAGAGCAATGGTGGCGAACCTATGGCACGCGTGCCAGAGGCAGCACGCAGAGCCCTCTCTCTGGGAACGCGTGCCATCGCCCCAGTCCCGCCTCCTCCCGCAGCTCCCTCCTCACCAGCAGTCCCCCCGGAAGAGAGTCATCCCCGGGCGCGGTCCACACAGAGCAGTGCAGCGAAGGACATGGCAGCCGGGCAGCAGGGAAAAGACCCCACCCTTGTGCCCTGTCGCATGCAGATGATGCTGTGGGGCACAGGCAGAGTACATGGCCACCATGGTGCAGGGCCACGTGAGTGGTCTGAGGCAGGCCATGGAGGCGGTAGGTGGCCCTGCAGTTGGTTGGGCAGGGGACAGGGCAGTTTTGGGGCACTCGGTGTCTAAAAGGTTCGCCATCACTGGACTAGAGCATTCCTTTATATAAAAGAAGGTATCCTGAAAGACGATGACATGATTCAGTTCTGCTTTTGGCTATTCTTGGCTGATTTTGCTCAACAAATATCCTGGCTTTAATTCACTTTCAAATATTTGGCATCTTATATGGCAGGATCAGAAATACAAACATAATCACTTCATGGGGACAATTGCAGACAATCCAACTCTTTCAAGAAGGGATTTTCCAAGATGCAGAAAGAGAAAAGAATCCATCTGCTGGCTGTCAGCTTCTCTGCCAAGTTTAGATGATGTTTTACATAAAGTTTGGGACTGCATGATGTGAACTGAGGGCCATAGGTTATACGCCCTGCATTAGTTAATGAGTATCTATTTCAAGAAGGGAATCATCAATTATACCAGAAAGCAAAGAGGATGCATTTTCATATCATTTGTGGGGGGAGCTGTGCATGGTGCTTTTCTTACAGAGCATTAGCTTTATTTTTTCTCTTGTGATTAAAATGGTATGGTAGGCAACTGGTAAAATGATAGGGATGGGCATTTTGCTTAGTCTGTGTATCAGTGAAAGGAACCAATGTAGGAAGCATGGAAGTATTCTTGAAAATGCAAATGAGTGAGATGAAAAAGATATTTCTCTGGGTATGTTTTTAATAAGTCAAAGAGATAAATATTTGTGGAACATCTATTTTGATTTTTCAAAGACAATAAAAGTTGCAAGATTGAAACTGGGTCGGATTCTATTCTCTATTGGAATATGTGCTTTGGGCTAGTCTGACTATTTGTATTTATGTAGCGTCCTCCTATTGGCTGATTGGTGTCAACACACCAACTGTCAATACACCAATCAGCCAGTAGGAAGGCACCACATAAACACAACTCATAAATAGCCCAAAGCACGTATTCCAGTAGAGAGAGGTTCCCTGAAGATGGGCTCCAGCATGAGTCCGAAAGCTCAGAAGAGTAGAAGCTCAGATTCGATAAAGGTTCTCCCAAGTATCTTGTATTCTTTAAATTCCCTCTACTGTTCTCTCCTCTTTGAAGCATTTTCAGCATGAAGTTTAGCTTCTTTTTTATGCATATCTGCAACAATCTCCGTTGGTTTAAGATATATTAGCAAAAAAAAAAATTTTGACATTACTATCTTTGTTGAAAATATATCTTTGGACTACATATTTTCCAAGCAGAACCAGATTGCAGTAGAGGCCAAAGAACTGGGATTTTTTTAATGAATTTTCTCTGCTAAAGTAGATTAAGAGATTGTAGGCAATAAAGGAAAATAACCTCCTTTGAATCCAGCTACAGATAGTCCTCAACTTACAACCATTTGTTTAGTGACTGTTCAAAGTTACAACAGCACTGAAAAAAGTGTGTTGTGACCATTTTCACATTATGACCATTGTAGCATCTTCATGGTCACAGGATTAAAGTTTGGATGCTTGGCAGCTGGCTCATATTTATGACAAATGCTGGTTCCCAGGGTCATGTGTTCATCTTTTGCGACCTTCTCACAAGTGAAGTCTGGGGAAACCAGATTCGCTTAAAACCATGTTACTAACTTAACAACTGCAGTGATTCACTCAACAACTGTGGCAAGAAAGGTTGTAAAATGGGGCAAACTCACTAAACAAGTTTCTTGTTTAACAGCACAAATTTCATCCAGTACTACTTGTATTATATTTTCTTAACTTAATATTTTCTATTATATTTAAATAAGTAAATTGACCTATCAGTAATATATGTAAATGTGGATAATATTCTACCAACTCTTTAATGAGTGATTATTTAGCAAAATTAGAAATCTGACTTTTCTAAGATTTGAGCTTCAACATAAAACCAATTGTTTTAAGAGAGGGTATTACAAATGTTACAATTTCAAAATATAATACATTTTATTTCCTTCACATTTTTGTTGTTAGATCTAATAATTTTATTAGGTTCATTATTTTCCTGATTCTTTAATGGTATTTTCAATCTATAAGGTAACTTCTGAGTCACAGAACTTTTGTTCAGATTTCGTATAGCCATCACTGATTGTGTAGTAATTGCTATTCTGGAAAAAAATGATCAACATTTTTCCATTTTCTAATGTTTTAAATATCTGGGACTGCTGCTACTTAATTCTTTAAAAAGGGTTTTCTTCTAATCAGCTTATATGTATTTTTATTGGATAATATCAAACATCAGTTCTAATTCTATAAGAAAAAAAACAGGTTTTATGAAAACAAGACTGTACTTGGAACTGGGAAATCTAAAACTCTAAAAAAACTAATATTTTTTTTCCTTTTCACTTAGGAGCTTTTTTGTGACTTCATACTCTAATTCAGCCTAGCCTTTCTAGTACTTTCTAAATTTGCTAAAACTGCAGTTCCTAAAATTCCCATTCATCATGCTAACTGGGACAGGACTCTTTGCAAGACAAAAGAATAATCATTGGGCTTTTCTGAGGAATGTTGTCCAAGTTATTTATTTATTAAAGTCATACCTGGCCTTTATTTTGGGGCCTGAAAGTGCAGTAAATGGAAAGAGAAGAGAAGGATCCATCTTTATATTATAATCCAAACAGTAAGCCTCTGAGAAAGTTTTAGATGAAAGAGTAGTTTAAAGTCATCTAAGGAATTCCAAGGTCAAATAGGAACTTGATATTAAGATGCAGAAGAGTAGTCATCATACTACATAAAAGAAGAACAACCTTAAGTCCTTTAAACAATCTTACAATCTTCTTATGTTTTAAATTTTCAAAAATTAGTCTTATCTCTGGGTGCTATAGGAAATCATTTCTAACAATATTCGTTAGTTAGTCTTGCAGATGTCACAAGGGTCTATCATGTGTCAAGCCCTATATTGAAGAAATGGGTCTGGGAATCAAACATGAGAATCCTATTGTGTAGTTGTTTATTTATTTATTTATTTATTAAATATACTTGTCATTCATTTTGCTGCTATCAGTAGTAAAACCGTGGAAACACAAATATTTAACTGCAGTACAAATACAAATTACAAATTATGATTAAAAGATGGGGAGGGAAGGAGTAAGATGACCAGGAGGGAGCTGGGATCTGCTATTGGTCCGTCAACTACCTCCAGTGTAGTAGTACTCCTTTGGGGCCTCAAGCCATCTGGGAAAGCCAGGTCTTAAGGCTTTTCTGGAAAGTCAGGAGGGTGGGAACCAGTCTCATTCTCGGAGCAAGACATTCCAGAGGGCAAGGGCAGAGTAGGCTCTTCTCCTGGACCCTGCCAGCTGGAATTCCCTAACCAATGGGCTCCGCAGCATGCCTCCTCTGTTGGCATGAGTGGAATGGGCTACTCCCTGATTGTACCCCCATCCCGCTTTTTCCGGAGATTGTCTACAAGGGAGACCAATGCTGTTTCTGTCCCATAACGGAGTCTGAATCTGAACTGGTCCACAACAGGGTTGCCAGGCGACATTCCACAGACACAATAAGGGTAGAGTAATAAAGTTGTTGCTGAACTGTTAATTTTGGGGGCTTGAACAATATTTAGCCACTCAGAAGCAATATAATACATTTCAACTATTACTGAAAAACAGTTATAAGTTTAACAAATAGCTAGCCATTCCCTTAGCAGATTATTGTGTTTTTTTTTAAAAAAAATATTATGTCCAAGTTTTTACAATCTTATCTCCAAACAAGGCATTTTTCTTTCTAATTAAAATCATTTTAAGATGGTGGTTCTGTCTCTTTACTTTCCAAACTGTTTTAAGTCAGTAGCAAGAATACAACAGCTGCTTCTTTGCACATTTACTTGCTCCCAAGAGTAGACTTTCAAAGATGATTTTGGCTCTGTTCCAGTTGCTGCATTGTTTCATGAGTGTGGATCTCCCTAATTCCCTCTGAATAAGGGGTAGTTATAGGGCCGGTGGGGGGGGGAGGGGGCTGTAAGACTTGATATGATATCAGCTTTCTTTTCAGTACATATACAATGACTTTTGTAAGTTTAAAAGCTGGTGACTGAGTTTGCTTGTCCCTTGTTCTCACACCATTCTTTTTCCTTCTGTATTATATAATTTTTAGGCTAGATTGCCTTGTTTGTTTGTGCATAAACCTTTATTTGCCTTTGATGTATAAAATCATCAATGATTAAACATGGAGTATTAAATACAGTGCTTTAAATAGTACAAAGTAAGAGTGGGATATAAATGTAAGCAATAGACAATTGCAATACTTTATAATTACAAGGTATTGCAGTGCAGCATAGACTCGCTTTCAGAAGCATACAGTGTTAATATATTTTTCATTGATATTTCAATCCAAAGCAAAATTCAGACCTATTGCTATTTTTCTAGCCAACTCCATGTGCTCAAAAGAGTTAAGATGTTTACTAATAAACATCTTCTAGTTTTTCAATAATTTGCAATGGCATTACTAGCAAGTATAAAAATAACAAGTGGTCATTTCAACTTATTAGGAAAGAAGCCAGTTTTTTTTCCTTTGGGGGAAAAAAAAGAACTTTAGGTAGCACTGAGAA